TCGTTTTTTAAAAAAGGAGGAAGTAAAATCTGGCTCAACTGGAACTCATTCCAATTATGAGAAAAAGAAATCAAAAGACATTTTCCCGATATGCTTCTTTCACGTAGTGTGGAGTAGGGATCTCCCGCCAGCTCCAAATACCAACCATGACTGGAAAAGGTCACCTTGGCACAACAAGGCGTGAGAACAAAGCTTGGTAATGGTTCTTCAAACACAGTCACAGAGATAGTCATCCTGGGTTCTAGAATTACACAAATAATACTGAGATAAAAAGCATATTTTCATGGGCGTTAAGACTCTGTTTCATTGGTGTTTGCAGTTGGAAGATTGCCGAGATACAGCAGGAAAGGAATCTACGGCAAGGTTGCTGTAAGCTGCAGAGGACGGGGCCTGTTGCCCCTCTACCCAATTTCACTAGGCAAGCACTATTTTTTCCAACCCCACCTATCAAAACGTGGGTCCAACAGATATAGAATCGTAAGAGTTGGAAGAGTCCTCATGGGCCATCCAGTCCAACCCCATTCTGCCAAGAAGCAGGAAAATTGCATTCAAAGCATTCCCAACAGATGGCCATCCAGCCTTTGCTTAAAAGCCTCCAAAGAAGGAGCCTCCACCACTGTGTCCACCATCTTTAAACACACAGCCCTTAGATGCATAACCATCTTTTTCCATAGAGCATGACTATGGATGGTGTGGTGAATGAATTAGAACCAGACATCCTGAGGAGTGAGGTTGAATGGGCCTTAAGAAGCATTGCTAACAACAAGGCAGCAGGAGACGACGGGATCCCAGCTGAACTGTTTAAAATCTTAAAAGATGATGCTGTCAAGGTGATGCATGCCATTTGCCAAAAATGGAAAACACAAGAATGGCCATCAGACTGGAAAAAATCAACTTATATCCCCATACCAAAAAAGGGAAATGCGAAAGACTGCTCAAACTTCCGTACAGTGGCCCTTATTTCTCATGCCAGTAAGGTAATGCTCAAGATCCTGCAAGGAAGACTCCAACAATACATGGAGAGAGAGTTGCCAGATGTACAAGCTGGGTTTAGAAAAGGGAGAGGAACGAGAGACCAAATTGACAATATCTGCTGGATAATGGAGAAAAGCAGGGAGTTTCAGAAAAACATCTATTTCTGCTTCATTGACTATTCTAAAGCCTTTGACTGTGTGGATCATAATAAATTGTGGCAAGTCCTTGGTGGGATGGGCATCCCAAGCCACCTTGTCTCTCTCCTGAGGAATCTGTACAAGGACCAAGTAGCAACAGTCAGAACTGACCATGGAACAACAGACGGGTTCAAGATTGGGAAAGGCGTACGGCAAGGCTGCATCCTCTCACCCAACCTTTTTAACTTGTATGCAGAACACATCATGCGATGTTCGGGGCTTGATGAATGCAAAGCTGGGGTGAAAATTGCTGGAAGAAACATTAACAACCTCAGATATGCAGATGACACCACTCTGATGGCCGAAAGCGAGGAGGAGCTGAGGAGCCTTCTAATCAAGGTGAAAGAAGAAAGCGCAAAAGCTGGGTTGCAGTTAAACATAAAAAAAAAACAAGATTATGGCAACAAGAATGATTGACAACTGGGAAATAGAGGGAAAACGTGGAGGCTGTGACAGACTTTGTATTTCTAGGCGCAAAGATTACTGCAGATGCAGACTGTGGCCAGGAAATCAGAAGACGCTTACTTCTTGGGAGGAGAGCAATGTCCAATCTCGATAAAATATTAAAGAGTAGAGACATCAGACTGGCAACAAAGATCCGCATAGTCAAGCCATGGTATTCCCTGTAGTAACCTACGGATGTGAGAGCTGGACTTTAGGGAAGGCTGAGCGAAGGAAGATCGATGCTTTTGAGCTGTGGTGTTGGAGGAAAGTGCTGAGAGTGCCTTGGACTGCGAGAAGATCCAACCAGTCCATCCTCCAGGAAATAAAGCCCGACTCCTCACTGGAGGGAAAGATACTAGAGACAAAGTTGAAGTACTTTGGCCACATCATGAGGAGACAGGAAAGCCTAGAGAAGACAATTATGCTGGGGAAAGTGGAAGGCAAAAGGAAGAGGGGCCGACCAAGGGCAAGATGGATGGATGGCATCCTTGAAGTGACTGGACTGACCTTGAGGGAGCTGGGGGTGGTAACAGCCGACAGGGAGCTCTGGCGTGGGCTGGTCCATGAGGTCACGAAGAGTCGGAGACGACTGAACGAATGAACAACAACATGGATGGGGCAGGAAGGCGAAGCACTGCTGTCTGTCACAATTTTTGGATTGTACTAAGGTCTCTTATATAGAAATATTTTGCTGATGTTGTTCTAAAGTTATAAATGAATGATAGATATTTGTCGAGCCTGAAACATCCTGGTTTCATCTCAGTTTCCTGGCAGATATTAATCTGCCGTGTCAGGGCAACCAGTCAATTGTATTACATTTCTAACAGAACAAAACAAACAAACAAAGAGACAAAACACAAAATTTGTAAGTTTGGTAGTTGATTAAATGTCCTTTGACCAGTATCTGGCCACTTGGAGTGCTTCTGGTGTTGCTGCAAGAAGGTCCTCCATTGTGCATGTGGCTGGGCTCAGGTTGCATTGCAGCAGGTGGTCAGTGGTTTGCTCTTCTCCACACTTCTCCACATGTTGTGGATTCCACTTTGTGGCCCCAGTTCTTGAGGTTGGCTCTGCATCTCGTGGTGCCAGAGCGCAGTCTGTTCAGCGCCTTCCAAGTCGCCCAGTCCTCTGTGTGCCCAGGGGGGAGTCTCTCATTTGGTATCAGCCATTGGTTGAGGTTCTGGGTTTGAGCCTGCTACTTTTGGACTCTCGCTTGCTGAGGTGTTCCAGCGAGTCTCTCTGTAGGTCTTAGAAAACTATTTCTAGATTTAAGTCGTTGACGTGCTGGCTGATACCCAAACAGGGGATGTTGGATCCTGGCAGATGTTGACTCCCCTTAACTGGTGTTGGAAATGTAAGGAGCTTTGTATTGACTTCCATCTTAACCTTGTAAACATTTCCTTAACTTAAAAAGTCATTGTCTCTGACTAATGTAAACACGTTGTTTTCCCTCAAAAGTTCATCAAGCAATGTCAACAGTTAATTATAGTCACAGTTCTCATCAGCAACTTTTAATTACGAGGGGTATTTTTTAAGTAAGGTCCGTTTTGTTGTAGTAGTTTGCGCGCATACTGCAACGAGCGCGTGTGTCGTGTACCGGCATGCCTCGGGAACAACTGTGCTCAGTTTCCGCTCTGTAGCTAACCTGTACGGTTCTGTTCTGTGCTTTAAAAATGTTTAAGACTATCAACTCACCCTCCGCATGTGAGGTTCGCTCAGTGATACGGTTTTTGTCAGCAAGGAACCTGCCTGCTGCAGAAATTCATCGACAGATTTGTGAAGTGTACGGTGATACTGTTATGAGTGAAAGCAAAGTGCGTAAGTGGGTACGACAATTCAAAGATGGCCGTGACAACGTCCATGATGAGGACCGCTCCGGTCGCCCTTCTTTGATTACAGTGAACTCTTGGTTATCGGAGCAGGCGACAAGTTTTTATGAAGAGGGTATTTTAAAATTGGTTCAGAGGTATGATAAGTGTTTGAACAAACTTGGCAACTATGTCGAAAAATAGAGTGAAGTATATACTTTCTGAAAATAAATTTACTTTTTTGAAATAAACTTTCGTTGTGTACTTATGTTCCAACGGACCTTACTTAAAAAGAGAATCCTAGAGTTGGAAGAGACCTCATGGGTCATTCAGTCCAACCCCCTGCCAAGAACCAGGAAAATTGCATTCAAAGCACCCCTGACAGATGGCCATCCAGCCTCTGCTTAAAAGTCTCCAAAGAAGGAGCCTCCACCACCGTCTCCACCATCTTTAAACACACAGCCCTTAGATGCATAACATTGAGTTATGTAACCTATTGGTGGTTTAAATGTTAAACAAATGTGTATCGCTACAAAACTGTCAGGTTTTACAATGTATTGTAATGTAATATAGCTGAGTCATGCACTGCTAATAGGCTTCTATTGGAAATGCTGAGTCATGCATTAACTGTATATAGGGAATCATTTGGGGAATGTGTTCTGGCCTAGTCCAGGTGATTATGAATGATGTAATCCTGGGTCTGAGTTAAGTTAATGAGTTGGGAACCAATCAGAGATTGCTATGTGTAATTGTATAGAATTGTATATAAGGAAGTCATGTAGAGTGTATACTTTCTCCTTGTGCTGTGATGCTGTTCATCGAAGGCTCTATGTCAGGGGTCCCCAAACTACAGCCCGTGGGCCACTTACAGCCCGCCAAAGGCACTTATCTGGCCCGCGGAGGAGGAGTGCCCCCCACACACAGTGCCCCTCCCTTGGCTGGCTCACGCTATCCATCAGGCCCAATGGGCAGCGTGAGCCAGCCGCGTAAAGCACCTCGCGAGGTGCTTTACGCGCGAGTAGGCCGCGCGGAGCAGCTGCCCTTGGCTGGCTCATGCTGCCCATCGGGCCTGACGGATAGCGTGAGCCAACCAAGGGAGGGGCACTGTGTGGGGGGGGGCGCTCCTCCTCCGCGGGCTGGATAAGTGCCCTTGGCGGGCTGGAAGTGGCCCGCAGGCCGTAGTTTGGGGACCCCTGATAAGGTGCATTTGGGACATGATGCTAGGAGCTTCCTACTCTGGGAAGGCACACTGGAACAGCCAGGTCTTCAGGCTCTTCCTAAATACTGCCAACGTTGGGGCTTGTCTGATGTCCTTGGGGAGAGAGTTCCAGAGTCGGGGGGCCACCACAGAGAAGGCCCTGTCCCTCGTCCCCACCAAACGCGCTTGCGATGCAGGTGGGATCATGAGCAGGGTGACTGCAGTTTGTGGGAGCAGTTGACTGAAAATACTGTGCAGGAAGAAGCTACTGGAAAGCGCTGAAGTTGTGCAACCGATCTGCTGCTGAATTGTGAAATTAATCTCAACAAAAACGATGACTGAGATTGGCATGACAGGATGACCAAAAGGCAAAACAAGCCCTCAAGCAAAAGAGTTATTTTATTTTTGATCGAAAATGTACAACTTGAGACTTCATCATTACCCAGCGACTGGGAAGGTTCCGATAAATAAGGAAATGGAGTATTCTTCAACCAGTGTAACCAACAACAAGGACAAAAACAGGTGGGGAAGAGAAGCAATTTACATAACAGGGACTTTGCTACCGGACGGTTCTTAATTTACATTCGAATGTCCTCTTGTTTTAGTGTCAATCTTGTGTCTAAAATATTTGCAAGGCAAAGGATGCCAAGGACGGAGGGAAAGAACACAGCGACCTTCTCTTGAAAGCTTTGCAGGTTTTGTTTGCTGTTCGCGGTGAAAGGCGGCTCGTAAAACCAAGGTGGCACAAGTCACACCCGCCTTGATGCGGGAGATTGAGGCTGATCCACATCAGATGTAAACACTGCCCTCGCCCTGGGTTGCAAATCAAGTGGATCAAAGGTCCAAAGGAAGGGGTGAGATGACTCTGAGCAAGGAAGAACACTGTTCTCATTCAGGACGAGTGACTAATAGCCTCTTAGATACAGAGGCGGCTTTAAAGCAGCCGTTCTCAACTTGTGGGTCGCAACCTCTTTGGGGGTCGAATGACCCTTTCACAGGGGTCTTAGGACCTGAGACACCACAGACATTTTTCCATCCCCTTCACTTTCCAGGGGCCTCTTCTTCTTCTCCGGAGGGAGGCGGTAACATCACTTCATCTCCGGAGAAGAAGAGATGAAGTTTGCTTGCATCCTGAATGGAGTTCTCTCGCTCTCGCTCTCCCTTCCTCCTGGCCCCCATTATGTGGGCCCTGTTCTTTCCTTCTCATAATGTTATGGTTAGGGGTCACCACAGCATAAGGAACTGTATTAAAGGGCCACGGCATTAGGAAGTTTGGGAACCACCGCTTTAAAGGACAATTGGTCACCACCAAAGAAAAAAGGAACTATTTAGATGGAAAAGAAATATTCGCACAAACAAGAAAGAGGGAGTGATGTGGAGAACCATGTCCCTGAATATGAGGAGTGTATTCAAAGGATAGGGAATAAGGCAGGTCTCTGTTTGTTGCCTTTTGAAGACAGTTTCATTCAAGGAAATGGTTGGGTACATAATCCACAGCCACTCCATCAATATCCGTTCAGACGGTACCAAGCACTCAGTTCCTGATCTGTGTTGTTTTACAGTACTGCACATATATATAATTAAAAAACTAACAACAGGGGGAAGGAACCTTTGCTTTGAACTATACCTCCCATAATCCATTCACACGTGGATTATGGTGTAACGTGGATCTTCAAATACTATGCCAACTACCATATGCTCCAGTGAGCTTGGGAATGTAGAGCCCCCATTACCAGCAGCATCGGTTTCTTGGGACTGGGGGATCTGGGGGGCGGGGGAACCAAGAGGAAAAGGGAGAACCTCTAGAGCCTTTTCTTGATCAGCTTTTCCAGTTTCCGGATGCGCGAGGACTCCTGTTCGGGCGTTGGGGCTGTCAGGGAGACAAAGCTGGTGCTTTCAGGCCCCGTTGGAGGGGCCGGCAGCCTCTGGCGGAACAATTCCAACATGGCGTTCTGCTCGCTCCGCTTCAAACCCTGCGGGACAACAGGGCAAGGGACAGAAAAGTCAGAGAAATGGGTGGCCGTGAATGTATCTCCAACGAGCCCAGGGCTCAGAGTGTGAGCAGCTCAAATCTCTTCGCATGAAGCGAAGCAGCACTGAAGAAGGTCAAAAGGAAGAGCCTGGAGCCACAAGAGAACAGACAGTGGTGCCTTGAGTTAAGAGTTTAATTTGTTCTGTGACCGAGCTCATAAGTCAAGGTTCCACTGTAATGTATGTACAACTCAGAGCATGATTTCTGTCATGGCTTGAGAAGCTTGTGTACTTGGCACCGGGACTGTGGCACAGCTGGCTGGGAGTCAGCTGCATTATTTATTTACTTTATTTTATTTATTTTATTTATTTATTTTTATTTTTATATATTTTTATTTATTTTTATTCATTCATTCATTCATTCATTTAGAACGAGGGACTCAGGCCGGTTCGCAACAGAGGATGCATACACAATAGTTTAAAACAGGGGTCCTCAAACTTTTTAAACAGGGGCCAGTTCACTGTCCCTCAGACCGTTGGAGGGCTGGACTATAGTTTTTTTTAAATAATCAATTAAAAAATCCCTATGCACATTGCACATATCTGATTTTGCTGTGTGGAAGGGCCCTTAGAGGGGGTCCTTTCTCGCCCTCTTTAGGCAGTAATTCCAGGAGCAGAGAATGGGAAATCTTCCTATTTCTAGTCTGAACAAAATCTGGCTAACAGTATTTAAAAAAACTCTAAAATTATAACTGTAAATAAAGAACAACACTCCACACAGGGGAACTCCAGACAAGAAACAATCAGGGGCAGCTAATCACCTCTCAACAAAGGATTCTCCCTAAAAATTGTCAGGCTATGAAATGGTAATCAAGGTGGCCAATTGAAACATCCAAACCTACCTCCGACAGACAAGAGTTCTTTCTCCCACCCTGGATCTTCCTCAATTTTCCTAGTTAAAGGCTTTCCTCTGACATGAAGTCCAGTCGTGTCTGACTCAGGGGTCTGGTGCTCATCTGCATTTCTAAGTCGAAAAGCCGGCGTTGTCCGTAGACACCTCCAAGGTCATGTGGCCGGCATGACTGCATGGAGCGCCAGGGCAGCCTCCCTTGGCTGGCTCACACTGCCCATTGGGCCCGATGGGCAGCATGAGCCTGCCAAGGGAAGAGCAGCCCCGCGCAGCCTACTCGTGCGTAAAGCACCTCACGAGGTGCTTTACGCGCGAGTAGGCCACACAGAGCAGCTGCCCTTGGCTGGCTCACGCTGTCCATCGGGCCTGACGGATAGCGTGAGCCTGCCAAGGGAGGAGCAGCCCCGTGCGGCCTACTCATGCGTAAAGCACCTTGCGAGGTGCTTTACGCACGAGTAGGCCACACGGAGCAGCTGCCCTTGGCTGGCTCACGCTGCCCATTGGGCCTGATGGATAGCGTGAGCCAGCCAAGCCCCGCCCGCCCCCCCCGCTACCCATTCCCCCCCCCCCCCCCCCCCCCCGCAACCCCGCTGCGGCCTACTTACGCGCGGTAAAGCACCTGAGGTGCTTTACGCGAGTAGGCCATGCAGAGCAGCTGCCCTTGGCTGGCTCACGCTGCCCATCGGGCCTGACAGATAGCGTGAGCCAGCCAAGGGAGGGGCACTGTGGGGGGGGCGCTCCTCCTCCGCAGGCCGGATAAGTGCCCTTGGTGGGCCGGAAGTGGCCCGCGGGCCGTTGGTTCACAACAGAGGATTCATACACAATAGTGTAAAACATCACATCCCATAATACACTAATATAAAAACACATTAAAATACAATCATATAATTACATAAGGCCAAGTCGTCAAAATGAAATCACAATTCATCACCATCTGTCCGTGTGGTCAAGAGTTATTGACTCACTCATCAAATGCTAAATTCCAGAGCCAAGTTTTCACCAGCTTTCTAAAAGTCAGGAGAGAAGGGGCAGTTCTAATCTCCAGTGGGAGAGAGTTCCAGAGCCGAGGGGCCACCACCGAGAAGGCCCTGTCCCTCATCCCCACCAGACGCGATTGCGAGGGTGGTGGGACCGAGAGCAGGGCCCCTCCAGAAGATCTTAACAACCTTGATGGTTCATAGGGGAGAATCTGTTCGGACAGGTAAACTGGGCCAGAGTCGTTTAGGGATTTATAGGTCAACACCAGCACTTTGAATTGTGCTCGGAAGCTGATTGGCAGCCAGTGGAGCTGGCGCAACAGAGGAGTAGTATGCTCCCTGTACCCCGCTCCCGTTAGTAATCTGGCTGCCGCTCGTTGTACTAGTTGTAGCTTCCGGGCAGTCTTCAGAGGCAACCCCACGTAGAGAGCGTTGCAGTAGTCTATACGGGATGTAACCAGAGCATGGATTAAGATCACTACTGACCGAAAGGTCATGACTTTGAAGCCAGTCTGGGTCAGAGTGAGCTTCTGGTCACTTGTCTAGCTTGCTGTGACCTTTGCAGCCCAAAAGACAGTTGCATCTGTCAAGTAGGAAATTTAGGTACCGCTTATGCTGGGAGGCTAATTTAATTAATTTAAGAGGCCATAAAAATCTCCAGCAAGCATGCAAAGAATGAGGAAGAACTTCATCAGTGTCACAAATGGACGGTGAAGTGACAGCTCCCCTGGTGGCCAGAATACCCTCAACAAAAGCTGGATTGTTAAATAGCCTCTGTGTGTCTGTCTATATATGTTGTGTGTCTGTGGCACTGAATGTTTGCCATGTGTATGTATACATTGTGATCCTCCCTGAGTCCCCTGTAGGGTGAGAAGGGCGGAATATAAATACTGTAAATAATTAATTAATTAATTAATATTGCACCGGGATTGTGGCGCAGCTGGCTGAGTGTCAGCTGCATTAAGATCACTCTGACCAAAAGGTCATGAGTTCGAAGCCAGCCCGGGTTGGAGTGGGTTTCCAACCAATTGTGTGTAGCCTGTTGTCGACCTTTGCAACCCGAAAGACAGTTGCATCTGTCAAGTAGGAAAATAAGGTACCACCTTAAAGTGTGGGGAGGCTAAATTAACTGATTTATGAGGCCATAAAGAAGACTCCAGCAAAGCATTCCAGCGGGGAAGCATGCGGGGAATGCGGAAGTGCTTCATCAGCGTCGCAGATGGATGATGAAAGCGACAGCTCCCCTGGCGGCCAGAAAAAGTTAAATAGCCTCTGTGTATGTCTGTATATGTTTGTATGTCAAAAATTGGCATTGAATGTTTGCCATATATGTGTACACTGTAATCCGCCCTGAGTCCCCTGCGGGGTGAGAAGGGCGGAATAGAAAAGCTGTAAATAAATAAATAAATAAATAATAAATACTTGTGTATGAGAAGGAAATCCACCAAGTGTGTCTTGTTTCTCACCTTCATGTCCAGAATCTTCTGGAACGTGTCCGTGCTGCAGTCAGCCAGGAGTTTGATGTAGTTGTCCACAAAGACTACTGCGGGTTCATGTGGGGCCATGACAACCTTCAGGGACAGAAAATTGGTCAAAAGTCAGAAGGAAGCAAGGTACACCTGACATTTCAAAGGGGACCATTGGAATTTATTTATTGGAATATTATTTATTGGAATATAAATAAAGTGGAAATGGAGATGAGCACCTTCCCGAGAGCCGGAGATGAAAGGGGAAGCCTTTGCCTTTGCCTTAGTCTGTGAATGTCTGTCTCATTGTATCAAGGCATGGACTGTATGTCTCTGTTTGTGTTTGTACGTATGCTGTAATCCGCTCTGAGTCCTCTCGGGGAGATAGGGCGGAATATAAATAAAGTGTTGTTGTTGTTATATTATTATTATTATTATTATTACTATTAATAATAGTAATAGTAAGACTGATGTAGCGCTGTCATGTGTCGTGGGGTTTGAGTGTTGGAAGACCAGGGTTCAAATCAATAGGCACTGCATCGGTGGGAAGGCAAACAGGAACTCCAAGCAATCATGCCAACCACACAACCAGGAGATGTCTATGGACAGCGCAGGCTCCTTGGTTTGGAAATGGAGATGAGCACCTTCACGAGAGCTGGAGTTGAGCACCGCCTCCAGAAGCCGGAGATGAAAGGGGAAGCCTTTGCCTTTGTCTTAGTCTGTGAATTTCTGTCTTATTGTATGAAGGCATGGGCTGTATGTCTCTGTTTGTATGTATGCTGTAATCTGCTCTGAGTCCTCTCGGGGAGATAGGGTGGAATATAAATAAAGTGTTGTTGTATTACTATTATTATTATTATTATTATTATTATTATTATTACTATTATTGTAAGACTGATGTAGTGCTGTCATGTGTCGTGGGGTCTGAGTGTTGGAAGGCCAGGGTTCAAATCAATAGGTACATCGGTGGGAAGGCAAACAGGAACTCCAAGCAATCATGCCAACCACACGACCAGGAGGTGTCTATGGACAGAGCAGGCTCCTTGGTTTGGAAATGGAGATGAGCATCTCCCTGGGAGATGGAGTTGAGCACCACCTCCAGAAGCCAGAGATGAATCATAGAATCAAAGAGTTGGAAGAGACCTCATGGGCGATCCAGTCCAAACCCCTGCCAAAAAGCAGGAATATTGCATTCAAATCACCCCTGACAGATGGCCATCCAGCCCCTGTTTAAAAGCTTCCAAAGAAGGAGCCTCCGCCACACTTGCTCCCTCCTCCCATGGCTTCCTCTCACATATTTATACATGGCTATCATGTCTCCTCTCAGCTTTCTCTTCTTCAGGCTAAACATGCCCAGCTCCTTAAGCCGCTCCTTATAGGGCTTGTTCTCCAGACCCTTGATCATTTTAGTCGCCCTCCTCTGGACACATTCCAGCTTGTCAACATCTCTCTTGAATTGTGGTGCCCAGAATTGGACACAATATTCCAGTTGTGGTCTAACCAAAGCAGAATAGAGGGGTAGCATGACTTCCCTGGATCTAGACACTACACTCCTATTGATGCAGGCCAAAATCCCATTGGCTTTTTTTGCCGCCACATCACATTGTTGGCTCATGTTTAACTTGTTGTCCACGAGGACTCCAAGATCTTCTTCACACGTACTGCTCTCGAGCCAGGCATTGTCCCCCATTCTGTCTCTTTGCATTTCGTTTCTCCTGCCTAAGTGGAGTATCTTGCATTTGTCACTGTTGAACTTCATTTTGTTAGTTTTGAATAAGATGCTGTTGTTTTTTAAATTCTTCTCGCAAATCAATACTTCCAGACAGAGTCACCCCACAAAATCCCACCCCGCAGGACTATGTAGCCACACCAAAACAGCCGCTTCCACAGACTATTTTCATGATCTCACTCGAAAAAGGAGGAGGAGGAGCATCCAAAACCTCACCTCCGTTGCGGAATGGCAATTCGGGGATGGAGTCTTCAAAGGGCGGCTCTAGGGAGCGACTGTAGCATCTCTTAAAAATGAGCCACAGGCCTGTTGCGTCGTCAGGCAAGGTCTCAGCCAGATGGTGTTTGTGTGTATGTGTGTGTGTGGACCTTGAAAAGATTCCCTCACAGCCCGGCTGCCTTGGATGAAAATTCTTGTTCACGTGAGCAAAGGAAAAAGGGAGTCAAGAATTTTAAAGAAAGAGATGATTCATCAAAATTACGGGAGGAAGGGGAGGTTTGTGGTGGGAAGGGGGGGGCTATGTTTGCAAGGTATCGGCAGACACCCGGTGACACATGCTCCAGGCACGCCAAAGGGCCCCACCTTTGCCTAATAATATATGGGGCCGCAGCAATGTTTTCTTGTACTGAGAGCTGCCTTCCGATCCAGCTTCCAGCCTGAATGAGGAACATGTGTGGCTAACTAATGAGGTTCTCTGGATCTGTGAGTCTGGGCCAGAGTGGAAAGAGAGGGGGCCAGGGGACAGTTCCATCTTGTCTCCTGCATATGTCATCAGTTGGGGACTCCTCCCCCCAGCACCAACTGCCTCTTTGGGCCAGAGTGAAGAGAGAGGGGGGCAGGGGACAGTTCCATCTTGCCTCCTGCATATGTTATCAGTTGGGGACCCCTCGCCCCAGCACCAACTGCCACCCTGGGCCAGTATGAAGAGAGAGAGGCCAGGGGACAGTTCCATCTTGTCTCCTGCAGATGTCATAAGCTGGGGACTCCTCTCCCCAAGCACCAACTGCTTCTCTGGGCTAGAGTGAAGAGAGAGGGGCCAGGGGACAATTCCATCTTGCCTCCTGCATAAGTCATCAGTTGGGGACCCCTCCCCCCCAGCACCAACTGCCACCCTGGGCCAGTATGAAGAGAGAGAGGCCAGGGGACAGTTCCATCTTGTCTCCTGCAGATGTCATAAGCTGGGGACTCCTCTCCCCAAGCACCAACTGCTTCTCTGGGCTAGAGTGAAGAGAGAGGGGCCAGGGGACAATTCCATCTTGCCTCCTGCATAAGTCATCAGTTGGGGACCCCTCCCCCCCAGCACCAACTGCCACCCTGGGCCAGAGTGAAGAGAGAGGGGGCCAGGGGACAGTTCCATCTTGTCTCCTGCATATGTCATCAGTTGGGGACCCCTCCCCCAGCACCAACTGCCGCTCTGGGCCAGAGTGAAGAGAGAGGGGGCCAGGGGACAGTTCCACCTTGTCTCCTGCATATGTCATCAGTTGGGGACCCCTCCCCCCATCACCAACTGCTGCTCTGGCCAGAGTGAAGAGAGAGGGGGCCAGGGGAGAGTTCCATCTTGTCTCCTGCATATGTCATCAGTTGAGGACCCCTCCCCCCAGCACCAACTGCCGCTCTGGGCCAGAGTGAAGAGAGAGGGGCCAGGGGACAGTTCCATCTTGTCTCCTGCATATGTCATCAGTTGGGGACCCCTCCCCAGCATCAACTGCCACTCTGGGCCAGAGTGAAGAGAGAGGGGGCCAGGGAACAGTTCCATTTTGTCTCCTGCATATGTCATCAGCTGGGGACCCCTCCCCCCAGCACCAACTGCCACTCTGGGCCAGAGTGAAGAGAGAGGGGGCCGATAGAGCTACAAGCTGGGTAGGTGCGGGGAATGCCGTGGATGTAGCGTACCTGGATTTCAGTAAGGCCTTCGACAAGGTCCCCCATGACCTTCTGGCAAGGAAACTAGTCCAATGTGGGCTAGGCAAAACTACGGTGAGGTGGATCTGTAATTGGTTAAGTGGACGAACACAGAGAGTGCTCACTAATGCTTCCTCTTCATCTTGGAAAGAAGTGACAAGTGGAGTGCCGCAGGGTTCTGTCCTGGGCCCGGTCCTGTTCAACATCTTTATTAATGACTTAGATGAAGGGCTAGAAGGCATGATCATCAAGTTTGCAGACGACACCAAATTGGGAGGGATAGCCAATACTCCAGAGGACAGGAGCAGAATTCAAAACGATCTTGACAGATTAGAGAGATGGGCCAAAACTAACAAAATGAAGTTCAACAGTGACAAATGCAAGATACTCCACTTTGGCAGAAAAAATGAAATGCAAAGATACAGAATGGGGGACGATGAGGCCTGGCTCGAGAGCAGTACGTGTGAAAAAGATCTTGGAGTCCTCGTGGACAAGTTAAACATGAGCCAACAATGTGATGTGGCAGCAAAAAAAGCCAATGGGATTTTGGCCTGCATCAATAGGAGCATAGTGTCTAGATCTAGGGAAGTCAATGCTACCCCTCTATTCTGCTTTGGTTAGACCACACCTGGAATATTGTGTCCAATTCTGGGCACCACAATTCAAGAGAGATATTGACAAGCTGGAATGTGTCCAGAGGAGGGCGACTAAAATGATCAAGGGTCTGGAGAACAAGCCCTATGAGGAGCGGCTTAGGGAACTGGGCATGTTTAGCCTGAAGAAGAGAAGGCTGAGAGGAGATATGATAGCCATATATAAATATGTGAGAGGAAGCCACAGGGAGGAGGGAGCAAGCTTGTTTTCTGCTTCCTTGGAGACTAGGACGTGGAACAATGGCTTCAAACTACAAGAGAGGAGATTCCATCTGAACATTAGGAAGAACTTCCTGACTGTGAGAGTGGTTCAGCAGTGGAACTCTCTGCCCCGGAGTGTGGTGGAGGCTCCTTCTTTGGAAGCTTTTAAACAGAGGCTGGATGGCCATTTGTCAGGTGTGATTTGAATGCAATATTCCTGCTTCTTGGCAGAATGGGGTTGGATTGGATGGCTCATGAGGTCTCTTCCAACTCTTTGATTCTATGATTCTAGGGGACAGTTCCGTCTCGTCTCCTGCATATGACATCAGTTGGGGACCCCTCCGCCCAGCACCAACTGCCGCACTGGGCCAGAGTGAAGAGAGAGGGGGCCAGGGGATAGTTCCATCTTGTCTCCTGCATGTGTCATACGCTGGGGACTCCTCTCCCCAAGCATCAACTTCCACTCTAGGCCAGAGTGAAGAGAGAGGGGGCCAGCGGACAGTTCCATATTGTATCCTCTGCTGTTCTAATAATATAATATAATGTAATGTAATATAATATATATTGTGTGTGTGTGTGTGTGTGTGTGTGTATAGTATTTATAATATTATAATGTAATGCAATATAATACCACTAATAATAATATGAAATTATAATTATATATTTATATTATATGTAATATTTCTAATAATATTACAATATAATGGCATAGTAAAATACAATAATATTTAATACTGATATTGTGCTATGCTAATAATTTTTTTTGTCGTGTCAGGAGTGACCTTAGAAACTGCAAGTTGCTTCTGGTGTGAGGGAATTGCTCGTCTACAAGGACGTTGCCCAGGGGACCGCCGGATGATTTGATGTTTTATCATCCTTGTGGGAGGCTTCTCTCATGTCCCTGCATGAGGAGCTGGAGCTGATAGAGGGAGCTCATCCGCCTCTCCCCGGATTCGAACCTGTGACCTGTTGGTCTTCAGTCCTGCCAGCACAGGGGTTTAACCCACTGTGCCACCAGGGGCTCCTTATGCTAATAATATAATATATCGTATGTATATATATCTTGTAAGCTGCTCTGAGTCCCCTTCGGCGTGAGAAGGGCGGCATATAAATGTCGTAAATAAATAAATAAATAAATAAATAAATAAATAAACTGTCTTCTAACAACTCAGGCTTTTTGCCATTGCAGGGCTCTCCTTCTCACACAGATCCCTTAACTCTGTGATAACCCTTCTGAGGGTCCTATGACAGGTACACGGTTAAACTGTTGAGCTGCTGAACTTGTTGACGAGAAGGCTGGAAGTTCGAATCCACGGGCTGGGGTGAGCTCCCACTGTTAGCCCCAGTTCCTGCCAACCTAGCAGTTCAAAAACATGGAAATGTGAGATTGGTAGGAAGGTAAAAAGGCACTCCAAATGATCATGCCGGCCACATGACTAGGAGGTGTCTACGGACAATGCAGGCTCCTCAGCTTAGAAATGGAAATGAACACCTCCCTCAGAGACAGAGTTCAGCGTTGCCTCCAGAAGCCGGAGATGAAAGAGGAAGCCTTTGCCTTTCTGTCTTTTTGTATCAAGGCACTGAATGTTTGCCTGCTTTTGTGTTTGTGTATGTGTATATGTGTGTGTGTGTGTGTGTGTGTGTGTGTGTGTGTATATATATATATATATATATATATATGTATAAGTATATGTATATTGTAGGCCTGTTTGATCAAGAAAAAATTTGTTTCTAAAATCGATTTGTAATTGGGGTGTTTTTTTGTTTCGATATTTAAAATAATTACAAAACTTTCCCCAAAAAAGTTTTGGTATTTAAGAAATTTTGTAAATATTAACGAATTTTTAGAATATTTTTTGTATTTCTTAAGAATAATATTAAAATAATATTAAAAAATATTTTAAAATGGAAAATTAACCAAAAAATGGCCCAAATGTGGACCAAACACAGGCAGGATACAGCAAATGAGAGCACACACCAACAGAAGAGTCTTTTCTTTTTTAGAATATTTTTTAAGAATAATATTAAAATAATATTAAAAAATAATATTAAAAATAATATTAAAAATAATATTTAAAAATAATATTAAAAATATTTTAAAATGGAAAATTAACCAAAAAATGGCCCAAATGTGGACCAAACACAGGCAAGAGACAGCAAATGAAGCAAGCAGCACTCACAGCAGCAAGGAATGAATCCAATCCCAGTTGCTAGCCATTGCCAAGCCAACCCAATGCAAACTCCCTCGCCCTCTGCAGCAAGCTACGGGCCGCGCGGAGCCGCTTTGAAAGGGCTCGCCGGCCAATCAAAAACAAACAGCCACGGACCCATGGTGCACTGCTTGGGAGCGCCGGATTGGCTCCCAGGCACCAGCACTCCAGCAGCCTCCACCCCATTAACGAAACGAGCGGAGGCTCGTTAAATCTATGGGGGTTGCTGGTTCGATATTTAAAAACCCTTCCGGGTTTGGAAATATGTTTTAATATCGCTTCGGAAATGCCAAAAATAACGAATTAATAACGAATTAACGAATTAACGAACGAAACCGCACAGGCCTAGTATATTGCAATCCATTCTAAGTCCCCTCGGGGAGACTAGCTGAAATATAAATAATGTGTTGTTGTTATTGTTGTTGTTGTTACATCTAAGTGGGATCATAGGCAAAGAAACAAGGTTTACCTTGAGGATCATTTCCGCCCGGGTCATACCCTTCACCACAATCTTAGTGTAGCTGGCCGGTGCCTTCCTCACGACTTGGGATCCGATGGAGGGCAGGTCCAGCAGGACCATCTTCAAAGAATGAGTGTCCAGCAGGAGCTGAAAGGTACACAAAAAGCCTTGTCATATTGTCATATGAGACAGGATTGCCCTACACAAGGATGCAGATATTGATTTACATATTGATTAACATAAATTGATTAACATAAATTTTATATTTATGTTAATGTTTTTAATTGTATTTTATGGTTTGGGGGGCATTGAATTGTTGCCGACTGTAAACCGCCCTGAGTCGCCTGCGGGCTGAGAAAGGCGGTATATAAATATAGTAAATAAATCTATATAAATAAAAATGTAATGTTCGTTTGTGGGATTCACAGAACTCAAAAACCACTGGACGAATTGACACCAAATTTGGACACAAGACACATATCAGGCCAACGAGTGACTATCACTCATAAAAACACTGAAAAACACAGCAGAACCGATTTAAAAAGACAAAAAAATACATTACAATGCATGCGCAAAACCACATATATACACAAATACACACGCATCTATTTATATCTATCTATCTATATAAATAAAAATGTAATGTTCGTTTGTGGTATTCACAGAACTCAAAAACCACTGGACAAATTGACACCAAATATGGACACAAGACACCTAACAACCCAATGTATGTCCTTCACTCAAAAAATTGATTTTCTCATTTGGGAGTTGTAGTTGCTGGGATTTATAGTTCACCTTACTATCAAAGAGCATTCTGTGCTCCACAAATGATGGAATTGAACCAAACGTGACACACAGGACTCCCATGACAAACAGAAAACACTAGAAGACTTTGGTGGGCATTGACCTTGAGTTTGGGAGTTGTAGTTCACCTACATCCAGAGAGCACTGTGTACTCAACAATGAAGACCAAACTTGGCATGAGTACTCAATATGCCCAAATATGAACACAGATGGAGTTTGGGGGAAATAGACCTTGACATTTGGGAGTTGTAGTTGCTGGGATTCCATATGCCCATAAAGGTAAAGGTAAAGGTAGTCCCCTGACATTAAGTCCAGTCATGTCTGACTCTGGGGTGTGGTGCTCATCTCCATTTCTAAGCCAAAGAGCCAGCGTTGTCCGTAGACACCTCCAAGGTCATGTGGCCGGCATGACTGCGTGGAGCGCCCTTACCTTCCCGCCGGAGCGGTACCTATTGATCTACTCCCATTTGCATGTTTTCGAACTGCTAGGTTGGCAGAAGCTAGGGCTGACAGCGGAAGCTCACGCCGCTCCCCGGAATCGAACCTGCGACCTTTCGATCAACAAGCTCAGCAGCTCAGCGCTTTAACCCACTGCGCCACCGGGGGCTCCCCATATGCCCATAGTTCACCTAAAATCAAAGAGCTTTCTGAACTTCACAAACAACAGAATTGGGGCAAACTTCCCTCACAGAACCCCCATGACCAACAGAAAATACTTAAGGCCATCCAGTCCAACTCTCTTCACAAGGGCAAGAAAACGTAATCAAAGCCCTCCTGACAAAGAGCCATCCAGCCATAGATATCGATAGATAGATATGATTCACACACCCACAGATATAGTATCATAGATTTGAAAGGGAGCCCTAAAGAAGGACAAGCAGCTGTGGCCACGATCGGCAGCTGTCAGCTTGGCTTGACAGGCTGTGTTGCCACACAAAGGACAACACAACGAAGCCAGGGAAGGGGATGAGCAGCGGACAGGTGTGCCTATGCGTTCAGGGCAGAGTTCAACCCACAACAGGCCCTGACAGGTGTGGGCTAATAGGAAAGAGAGCTCCCCAACATGCCAGGCCATTTCCAAGGCATCGACCACTTCGTTTGCTTTAAAAGAAACTACACCACACGGAAAGAGGCGGAAGGCGGTTAATATGGCCCAAGTGGTCCACTTAGCCTAGGCATGGGCATAGTGTCTAGATCCAGGGAAGTCATGCTACCCCTCTATTCTGCTTTGGTTAGACCACACCTGGAATATTGTGTCCAATTCTGGGCACCACAATTCAAGAGAGATATTGACAAGCTGGAATGTGTCCAGAGGAGGGCGACTAAAATGATCAAGGGACTGGAGAACAAGCCCTATGAGGAGCGGCTTAAGGAGCTGGGCATGTTTAGCCTGAAGAAGAGAAGGCTGAGAGGAGATAGGATAGCCATGTATAAAGAGGAAGCCACACGGAGGAGGGAGCAAGCTTGTTTTCTGCTTCCCTGGAGACTAGGACACGGAACAATGGCTTCAAACTACAAGAAAGGAGATTCCATCTGAACATGAGGAAGAACTTCCTGACTGTGAGAGCCGTTCAGCAGTGGGAACTCTCTGCCCAGAGTGTGGTGGAGGCTCCTTCTTTGGAAGCTTTTAAACAGAGGCTGGATGGCCATCTGTCAGGGGTGATTTGAATGCAATATTCCTGCTTCTTGGCAGAATGGGGTTGGACTGGATGGCCCATGAGGTCTCTTCCAACTCTTTGATTCTAGGATTCTACTCTGAACTCAAGAAAGGAAAACGGAATGTTGTTGGGCAGGAAAAGAGATTGAAAGATGGGCTCAAAGCCAACCTTAAAAACTCTGGCATAGACACTGAGAACTGGGAAGCCCTGGCTGAGTGCTCCAGCTGGAGGTCAGCTGTGACCAGCAGTGCTGTAGAATTTGAAGAGGCATGAATGGAGGGCGAAAGAGAGAAATGTGCCAAGAGGAACGCACTTCAAGCAAACTCCGACCCGGGACCAATGCCCTCACTGTGGGAGAACATGCAGGTCAAGAAAAGGGCTCCACAATCACCTACGGACTCACCGCCAGTACAGCAATCTTGGAGGACAGTCCTACTTTGACAACGAGGAATCATCGCCTAAGTATTCATGACTCCCCATTCTCTTGACTTTGTGCTGCTCTGCTGGCCACAATCCATCTCCCATTCCTCCCCCCTCCTCACCTGTTCTGCCCCCACCATGCTGATCGGCTTGCACTTGAAGAGATGGTTGATAAACTTGGGGATGAAGGAACTGTGGGGAGAAGAACAAAGAAATTCATGTCAGAAATATTACAAATTAGCTGGCTATTTTTTATTGCAAAAGTGTGAATCAAGCACTGAAAGATGCACAGGCCCAGCGTGCGACAGCACACAGTGGGCCAAAGATAGTGTCGTCTTGAGGAGTGTGAGGTAAACCTCTGTGTGAGAGAAGCCTCATGTGAGTTAGTAGGCCCAAGCCTGTTAGCATCAGTGGGACAAAGCTAGTGTCCTCCTGAGGAGTGTGAGGTAAACCTCTGTGTGAGAGATGCCTCGTGTGAGTTAGTAGGCCCAAGCCTGTTAGCGTCAGTGGGACAAAGCTAGTGTCCTCTTGAGGAGTGTGAGGTAAGCCTCTGTGTGAGAGAAGCCTCTGTGAGAAAGCTTCAAAGATTCAAAATGTTTCATCTATATATATAAAAATGCTCTCATAGAATCATAGAATCAAAGAGTTGGAAGAGACCTCATGGGCCATCCAGTCCAACCCCATTCTGCCAAGAAGCAGGAATAATGCATTCAAATCACCCCTGACAGATGGCCATCCAGCCTCTGCTTAAAAGCTTCCAAAGAAGGAGCCTCCACCACACTCCGGGGCAGAGAGTTCCACTGCTGAACGGCTCTCACAGTCAGGAAGTTCTTCCTAATGTTCAGATGGAATCTCCTCTCTTGTAGTTTGAAGCCGTTGTTCCATTGCGTCCTAGTCTCCAGGGAAGCAGAAAACAAGCTTGCGCCCTCCTCCCTGTGGCTTCCTCTCACATATTTATACATGGCTATCATATCTCCTCTCAGCCTTCTCTTCTTCAGGCTAAACATGCCCAGCTCCTTAAGCCGCTCCTCATAGGGCTTGTTCTCCAGACCCTTGATCATTTTAGTTCCCCTCCTCTGGACACATTCTAGCTTATCAACATCTCCTTTCAATTGTGGTGCCCAGAATTGGACACAATATTCCAGGTGTGGTCTAACCAAGCAGAATAGAGGGGTAGCATTACTTCCCTAGATCTAGACACTATGCTCCTATTGATGCAGGCAAAATCCCATTGGCTTTTTTTGCCGCCACATCACATTGTTGGCTCATGTTTAACTTGTTGTCCACAAAGACTCCAAGATCTTTTTCACATGTACTGCTCTCGAGCCAGGCATGTCCCCCATTCTGTATCTTTGCATTTCATTTTTTCTGCCAAAGTGGAGTATCTTGCATTTGTCACTGTTGAACTTCATTTTGTTAGTTTTGGCCCATCTCTCTAATCTGTCAAGATCGTTTTGGATCCTGCTCCTGTCCTCTGGAGTATTGGCTCTCCCTCCCAATTTGGTGTCGTCTGCAAACTTGATGATCATGCCTTCTAGCCCTTCATCTAAGTCATTAATAAAGATGTTGAACAGGACCGGGCCCAGGATGGGACCCTGCTTGTGGCACTCCACTTGTCACTTCTTTCCAAGATGAAGAGGAAGCATTAGTGAGCACTCTCTGTGTTCGTCCACTTAACCAATTACAGATCCACCTCACCGTAGTTTTGCCTAGCCCACATTGGACTAGTTTCCTTGCCAGAAGGTCATGGGGGACCTTGTCGAAGGCCTTACTGAAATCCAGGTACGCTACATCCACGGCATTCCCCGCATCTATCCAGCTTGTAGCTCTATCGAAGAAAGAGATCAGATTAGTCTGGCATGACTTGTTTTTGATAAATCCATGTTGACTATTAGCGATGACTGCATTTGTTTCTAAGTGTTTGCAGACCGCTTCCTTAACAATCTTTTCCAGAATCTTGCCCGGTATCGACGTGAGGCTGACCGGACGGTAGTTGTTTGGGTCATCCTTTTTTCCCTTCTTGAAGATTGGGACCACATTGGCCCTCCTCCAATCTGCTGGAACTTCTCCCGTTCTCCAAGAACTCTCAAAGATGGTTGCCAATGGTTCCGAAATGACTTCCGCTAGTTCCTTCAATACTCTGGGGTGTAGTTGATCTGGCCCTGGGGACTTGAACTCATTAAGAGCGGCCAGGTATTCCTGGACGACTTCTTTCCCAATTTGGGGTTGGATGTCCTCCAATCCCTCATCCACTCCATCTTGCTGAGGTTGAAGACTCTCTTTTTGTGAGAAGTCCGAGCGGTTTTTGAGTGACATCATAACTCAAAAACCGCTGAACTAATTGCCACTAAATTTGGCCACAAGACACCTACTAACCCAAGGAGTGACCATCACTCAAAAATTGATTTTGTCACTTGGGAGTTGTAGTTGCTGGGATTTATAGTTCACCTACTATCAAAGAGCATTCTGAACTCCACCAAAGATGGAATTGAACCAGTCTTGGCACACAGAACTCCCATGACCAACAGAAAACACTGGAAAGGTTTGGTGGGAACGGACCTTGAGTTTGGGAGCACCAGTTAACAACCTGGCCGCCACCCATTGAACCAACTGAAATTTCCGGGCCGTTTTCAAGGGCAGCCCCACATAGAATGCATTACAGTAGTCCAATCTGGAGGTGACTAAGGCATGGACCACCCTGGCCAGTTTCCACCAGTTACAGAAAGGTCCCAGAAGGCAGCAAAATGCAAGGCAGGCCACTCACTTGGCAAACTTGATGCAAAACTGTGTGAAATACTTCCGGGTCGAGGCCAGGTTATCACGAATGATGGGGACGTTCTGCTTGATGTGAAGGATTACGGAGGTGACATAGGGACTCTGGTCTCCGACGTGTTCCACGTTCTGCCATTGCATCTGTGAGGAGCCAAAGCAAAGAGAGAAAGAGAGAGGGAGAGAGAGATGTAAAAACTATGTCAACCAAAAACAACACTTTCCAACATGGAAAGCCACCTCCTTGACTCTTGTGATGAAGGATGTTCTCATCAAAGTGGAAATCATCTATGGGACAGATGGCAAGCTATTTAACCTCAGCAGACTGAAAGACAAAACCAAGGTTACAACAACATCTGTTATAGAACTCCAATATGCTGATGACAACATCGTCTGTGCACAATCAGAAGAAGACCTACAAGCCACTCTAAACACTTTCGCAGAAGCATACAAGAAGCTCGGCCTTCGCACAATTAAGACTCGTGCGCCAACTTCGACTGTACCTCGTGAAGTCGGATCTGGCCAGGGTGGTCCATGCCTTAATCACCTCCAGATGGGAGTACTGTGATGCACTCTATGTGGGGCTGCCCTTGAAAACGGCCCGGAAATTTCAATTGGTACAACGGGTGGCAGCCAGGCTACTAACTGGTGCTTCTTGCAGGGAGCGGTCAACCCTCCTGTTTAAGGAGCCCCACTGGCTGCCGTTCATTTTCCGGTCTCAATTCGAAGTGCAAGTTCTGACCTACAAAGCCCTGAACGGTTTGGGACCCGCCTACCTGCGTGACCGCATTTCTGTGTACGAACCCACACGTTCTCTTCGATCATCTGGAGAGGCCCTGCTCACACTCCCACCTCCATCGCAGGCACGATTGGTGGGGACGAGGGAGAGGGCCTTCTCGGTGGTGGCCCCTCGACTCTGGAATTCACTCCCTAAGGACATCAGACTTGCTCCAACAATGGCAGTCTTTAGGAGGAGCCTGAAAACGTGGTTGTTCCAGTGTGCCTTCCCAGAATAAGGAAAACTCTTAGCAATATGTCCTCAAATGCACTTTAATATTGACTTAGGATTGTCTGTGTGCCCTCATCTTTCTCTGAAAACCCTATTCTAATTTGCCTTACTTTGTTCATGCCCAGCACTTTTTGATTTTAAATTTGAATTATTACCTTTGGCCCGGCCATAGGTTTTTAAATGCTGTATGTTTGATATTGTTATTGCCTATTGCTTATTGTGTATTTCCTGTTTTGGAGTTATTTTAACTGTTTTGTATTGATTATTGAACATTATTTAACTGTTTTGTATTTGTTATTGCTTTTGTTTATTGATGTATTGTGGGCTTGGCCTCATGTAAGCCGCACCGAGTCCCTTGGGGAGATGGTAGCGGGGTATAAATAAAGTATTATTATTATTATTATTATTATTATTATTATTGAACATCAAGAAAACCAAAGTGCTCTTCCAGCAGTCACCAGCCAATCTCTCCCCAATGCCAGAAATACAGCTTAATGGTGTAACATTAGAAAATGTTGAGCATTTCTGCTCCCTTGGGAGCCACCTCACCACAAAAGTAAACCGAAATACAACACTTCCTGAGCTCTGCAAGTGCAGCTTTTTTCCAAAGGAAGAAGAGAGTGTTTGAGGACTGGGAAATCCGCAGGGATACCAAGGTGCTTGTTTATAAAGCTATTGTCTTCCCAATCCTGCTATATGCCTGCAAGACGTGGACTGTCTATAGACGTCACACTCAACTCCTGCAATGATTCCATCAGCGCTTCCTTAGAAAAATCCTGCAAATCTCTTGGGAAGACAAGCGGACAAACGTCAGCGTGCTGGAAGAAGCAAAGACCACCAGCACTGAAGCGATGGTCCTTTGCCATCAACTCCGCTGGGCCGGCCACGTTGTCCGGATGCCTGACCACCGTCTCCCAAAGTAGTTGCTCTTCTCCGAACTCAAGAATAGAAAACTGAATGTTGGAGGACAGGAAAAGAGATGGGCTCAAAGCCAACCTTAAAAACTCTAGCATAGACACTGAGAATTGGGAAGCCCTGGCTCTTGAGCACTCCAGTTGGAGGTCAGCTGTGACCAGCAGTGCTGTAGAATTTGCAGAGGCACGAATTGAGGGTGAGAGAAACGTGCCAAGAGGAATGCACGTCAAGCCAACCGCCTTCCAACTGGAAACCAATGCCCTCACTGCGGGAGAACATGCAGGTCAAGAATAGGGCTCCACAGTCACCTACGGACCCACCGCTAGGACACCGATCCTACTCAGACAACGAGGGATCGCCTAATGAATGAATGATAGTGAGAGTAAATCAAAACTAGAGGTATTTAAGCAGACTCTGAGCAACTGCCTGGAAGATCCTTCGATAAGAATTGGGTTGGATAGATATGACTGTACCTTGCTCATGGCGGTGAGCGCTGGGTCACAGGCAGCATCCAAATCCTGCACCAGAAGCTGGATACTGTTGGAAATGACTCTGCAACAGGAACAAGAATTATTGGCATGTGCGTCCACCCAGGCAGCTCGATACCAACAACAGGCACGGGCCAAATTCAGCCCTCCGAGTGTCTTGGACTTCAACTCCCACAATTCCTAACAGCCAAAGTTGGCCCACGTCTGGGATAATATATTGTATATACATATATGTCAGGTTTTACAATGTATTGTAATGTAATACAGCTGAGTCATGCACTGCTAATAGGCTTCTATTGGAAATGCTGAGTCATGCATTAACTGTATATAGGGAATCATTTGGGGAATGTGTTCTGGCCTAGTCCAGGTGATTGTGAATGATGCAATCCTGGATTTGAGTTAAGTTAATGAGTTGGGAACCAATCAGAGATTGCTATTTGTAAAGGTACAGAATTGTATATAAGGAAGTCATGTACAGTGTATTCTCTCTCCTTGTGCTGTGATGCTGTTTGCCGAAGGCTCTGTGTAATGTATTAAAGGAACCTGTCTGCTAAGACAAGATATAACCGTGTGCTGTGGTAAGTTTGTAATGTCATCTAGATTGGAGGGGAAATCAATAGTAAAACTGACATTGCCCGGCATGTGCTCAAATGTCTGCAAAAGAGTTCCAGAGTGACTGCAGTTTGTGGGAGCAGTTGACTGAAAATACTGTGCAGGAAGAAGCTACTGGAAAGCGCTGAAGTTGTACAACTGATCTGTTGCTGAATTGTGAGATAAAGCACGACAATATAATATTTATAATGTAATACAATATAATACTACTATTGTAATAATAATATTACAATACCATGGTATAATACAATATAGTAATATTTAATACTGATATTGTACTATGCTAATAAATAATATATTGTATGTATATATATTCTGCAAGCCACTCGGAGTCCCCTTTGGGGTGAGAAGGGCGGCATATAAATGTCGTAAATAATAAATAAATAAATAAATAAATAACTCTTGAAAGGCGACGGGGCCGTGGTTAGCACAGCGGGCTAAACTGCCAACTGCAGAAAATCTATCTGACCAAAAAGTTGGCAGTTTTCTATTCACATTGCTGTTTTCGAACTGCTAGGTGGGCAGAAGCTAGGGCTGACAGCCGGAACTCACCCCAGTCCACGGCTTTGAACTGCCAACTGCAGAAAATCTTGCTGACCAAAAAGTTGGCAGTTCAACGCCGTGGACTAGGGTGAGTTCCGGCTGTCAGCCCTAGCTTCTGCCCACCTAGCAGTTCGAAAACAACAATGTGAATAGATCAATAGGTGTCACTTTGGCGGGGAGGTAAAAGGCGCCCATACGGACATGCCAGCAATTTGATCAGGAACAGGTTCCTTGGCATGGAAAATGGAACAAGAGCACCTCCCCATGTCCAGAGTTGAGCACAGCCTCCAGATGCCGGAGATGAAAAAAGGGAAGCCTTTGCCTCTGTCTGTATACTGTCTGTCTTTGTTGTTAATTGTATAACAGCACTGAATATTTGCCATATATGTAATCTGTAATCTGCTCTGAGTCCCCTCGGGAGATAGAGCAGAATACAAATAAAGTATATTATTATCATCATTATTATTATTATTATTATTATTATTATTATTATTATTAGAAACACAACAAGATGAGTCAACAGCAGACAAGACCACTTTGCTGGCGGTTGTATTGGATCACACATCAGACATTTCCCAAGTGTCTAGGACTATGTGATGTATTGGCGAATGATGCGTGCAGGTCCCAGTAAGGTGGCCTTCTGCAACTGGCAGATAGTAATTTTGTCAGCGCCGATTGTGTTTAAGTGCAGGCCAAGGTCTTTAGGCACTGCACCCAGTGTGCCGATCACCACTGGGACCACCTTTACTGGCTTGTGCCAAAGTCTTTGCAGTTCGATCTTTAAATCCTCATATTGTGTCAGCTTTTCCAGTTGTTTCTCTTCAATCTTGATGTCACCTGAGATTGCGACATCAACAATCCATACTTTGTTGTTGTTATTGTTGTTGTTGTTGTTATTATTATTGGGAGGTTGTAAGTTTTTTGGTTGTTGTAGGTTTTTCCTGAAGCATTCTCTCCTGACGTTTCGCCTGCATCTATGGCAAGCATCCTCAGCAGTTGTGAGGTCCTCACAACCTCTGAGAATGCTTGCCATAGATGCAGGCGAAATGTCAGGAGAGAATGCTTCAGGAAAAACCTACAACAACCAAGTGATTCTAGCCATGAAAGCCTTCGACAGTACATTATTATTATTATTATTATTATTATTATTATTATTATTATTATTTGAAACACAACAAGATGAGTCCACAGCAGACACTCTGCTGGCTGTTGTATTAGATCATACGTCGGACAGCTCCCAAGTGTCTCGGACTGTGTGATGTATCGGTGAATGATGCGTGCAGATCCCAGTAAGTTGGCCTTTTGCAAATGGCAAATAGTCATCTTGTCAGCGCCGATTGTGTTTAAGTGCAGGCCAAGGTCTTTAGGCACTGCACCCAGTGTGCCGATCACCACTGGGACCACCATAACTGGCTTGTGCCAGAGTCTTTTTTAAAATTTATTATTATTATTATTATTATTATTATTATTATTATTATTATTATTACATACATGCTGAAGGTATCCATCTCTCCCATCAGGTTGATCCGTTCTACGAGGCTGGTGTCTACTTTCTCTTTGAGTTTTTCTTCAAGCTGTTGGGGGTGAGAGACAACACAACAGGTAATGAGATGGATCTCATTAAACTCAACAGATTCCAAAAATGCAATATAACAATTGTTATAAGTATTAAAAATGAAAAAAAAATTAAATAAATAAAATAATAATAAAAATAGATAAATAAGTAATAACAAATATAGGCAAAGACACAGAATAGAAGTCATTTTTTCCATTTTTTTCTTTAACTTTTTTTCTATTTTTTCCATTTTTAAGGTATTTTTGTATTATATATATATATATACTAGCTGTACCCGCCACACGTTGCTGTGGCCAACCTTCCCTCCCTCGTTCTCTCCTTCCTTTCCTCTTTTTCTTTCCCTTCCTATTTATCTTCTTCTTTCTTCCATCTCTACCTGTTTCTTTCCTCCCTTTGTTTGCTCTTTGGTTACATCCCTCCTTCCCTGTATTTTTCCTTTCACTTTTTTATTTCCTTCTTTCTTGCTTCTCTACCTTTCTTTCTTTCCTTCTTTCCCTTCCCTCCTTCTCTCCTTCCCCCTTTCCCGCCTTCATTCCTTCCCTCTTTCCCTCCTCTCGTTACTTCTTGACTGTCCCTTCCAACTCTATTCTGTAAGTCTATTTAATTTGTATTATGTAGTAATATATAATAGTAACTACTATATAGTAATCTATATCACAATATATAAAATATTGTATTTATATCTTACATAGAAAGAAGGAAAGAAGGAAAAAGGGAGGGAGGGAAAGAGGGAAGGAAGGGAAGGAAGGTAAGGAAAGAAGGAGGGATAGGAAGGAAGGAAGGAAGGAAGGAAGGAAGGAAGGAAGGAAGGAAGGAAGGAAAGAAGGGAGGAAGGAAGGAGAGAGAAAAAGGAAGAGAAAAAGGGAAGGAAGGAAAGAAGAAAAGGAAGGAGGAAGGAAGGAAAGGAAGGAAGGAAGGAAAGAAGGGAGGAAGGAAGGAAGGAAGGAAGGAAGGAAGAGGGAAAGGAAGGAGGTGGGTGAAGAAAGGAGGGAGGGAAGGAAAGTAAGGAGAAGGAAATGAAGAAAGGGAAAGAAGGAGGAAAGGAAGAAGGGACAGGAAGGAAGGGAAGGAGGAAAAGAAGGAAAGGAAGGAGAAGGAAGGGAAGGAGGGAGAGACAGGAAGGAAGGAAAAAGGAAGGAAGGAAAGGAAGGAGGAGGAAGGAGGAAGGAAGGAAGAGGGAAAGGAAGGAGGGGGATGAAGAAAGGAGGGACGGAAGGAAAGTAAGGAGAAGGAAATGAAGAAAGGGAAAGAAGGAGGAAAGGAAGAAGGGACAGGAAGGAAGGGAAGGAGGAAAAGAAGGAAAGGAAGGAGAAGGAAGGGAAGGAGGGAGAGACAGGAAGGAAGGAAAAAGGAAGGAAGGAAAGGAAGGAGGAGGAAGGAAGAGGGAAAGGAAGGAGGGGGATGAAGAAAGGAGGGACGGAAGGAAAGTAAGGAGAAGGAAATGAAGAAAGGGAAAGAAGGAGGAAAGGAAGAAGGGACAGGAAGGAAGGGAAGGAGGAAAAGAAGGAAAGGAAGGAGAAGGAAGGGAAGGAGGGAGAGACAGGAAGGAAGGAAAAAGGAAGGAAGGAAAGGAAGGAGGAGAAAGGAGGAAGGAAGGAAGAGGGAAAGGAAGGAGGGGGATGAAGAAAGGAGGGACGGAAGGAAAGTAAGGAGAAGGAAATGAAGAAAGGGAAAGAAGGAGGAAAGGAAGGGAGGGAGGAAAGGAAGAAGGGACAGGAAGGAAGGGATGGAGGAAAAGAAGGAAAGGAAGGAGAAGGAAGGGAAGGAGGGAGAGACACGAAGGAAGGAAAAAGGAAGGAAGGAAAGGAAGGAGGAGAAAGGAGGAAGGAAGGAAGAGGGAAAGGAAGGAGGGGGATGAAGAAAGGAGGGACGGAAGGAAAGTAAGGAGAAGGAAATGAAGAAAGGGAAAGAAGGAGGAAAGGAAGAAGGGACAGGAAGGAAGGGAAGGAGGAAAAGAAGGAAAGGAAGGAGAAGGAAGGGAAGGAGGGAGAGACAGGAAGGAAGGAAAAAGGAAGGAAGGAAAGGAAGGAGGAGGAAGGAGGAAGGAAGGAAGAGGGAAAGGAAGGAGGGGGATGAAGAAAGGAGGGACGGAAGGAAAGTAAGGAGAAGGAAATGAAGAAAGGGAAAGAAGGAGGAAAGGAAGAAGGGACAGGAAGGAAGGGAAGGAGGAAAAGAAGGAAAGGAAGGAGAAGGAAGGGAAGGAGGGAGAGACAGGAAGGAAGGAAAAAGGAAGGAAAGGAAGGAGGAGGAAGGAGGAAGGAAGGAAGAGGGAAAGGAAGGAGGGGGATGAAGAAAGGAGGGACGGAAGGAAAGTAAGGAGAAGGAAATGAAGAAAGGGAAAGAAGGAGGAAAGGAAGAAGGGACAGGAAGGAAGGGAAGGAGGAAAAGAAGGAAAGGAAGGAGAAGGAAGGGAAGGAGGGAGAGACAGGAAGGAAGGAAAAAGGAAGGAAGGAAAGGAAGGAGGAGGAAGGAGGAAGGAAGGAAGAGGGAAAGGAAGGAGGGGGATGAAGAAAGGAGGGACGGAAGGAAAGTAAGGAGAAGGAAATGAAGAAAGGGAAAGAAGGAGGAAAGGAAGAAGGGACAGGAAGGAAGGGAAGGAGGAAAAGAAGGAAAGGAAGGAGAAGGAAGGGAAGGAGGGAGAGACAGGAAGGAAGGAAAAAGGAAGGAAGGAAAGGAAGGAGGAGGAAGGAGGAAGGAAGGAAGAGGGAAAGGAAGGAGGGGGATGAAGAAAGGAGGGACGGAAGGAAAGTAAGGAGAAGGAAATGAAGAAAGGGAAAGAAGGAGGAAAGGAAGAAGGGACAGGAAGGAAGGGAAGGAGGAAAAGAAGGAAAGGAAGGAGAAGGAAGGGAAGGAGGGAGAGACAGGAAGGAAGGAAAAAGGAAGGAAGGAAAGGAAGGAGGAGGAAGGAGGAAGGAAGGAAGAGGGAAAGGAAGGAGGGGGATGAAGAAAGGAGGGACGGAAGGAAAGTAAGGAGAAGGAAATGAAGAAAGGGAAAGAAGGAGGAAAGGAAGGGAGGGAGGAAAGGAAGAAGGGACAGGAAGGAAGGGAAGGAGGAAAAGAAGGAAAGGAAGGAGAAGGAAGGGAAGGAGGGAGAGACAGGAAGGAAGGAAAAAGGAAGGAAGGAAAGGAAGGAGGAGGAAGGAGGAAGGAAGGAAGAGGGAAAGGAAGGAGGGGGATGAAGAAAGGAGGGACGGAAGGAAAGTAAGGAGAAGGAAATGAAGAAAGGGAAAGAAGGAGGAAAGGAAGAAGGGACAGGAAGGAAGGGAAGGAGGAAAAGAAGGAAAGGAAGGAGAAGGAAGGGAAGGAGGGAGAGACAGGAAGGAAGGAAAAAGGAAGGAAGGAAAGGAAGGAGGAGGAAGGAGGAAGGAAGGAAGAGGGAAAGGAAGGAGGGGGATGAAGAAAGGAGGGACGGAAGGAAAGTAAGGAGAAGGAAATGAAGAAAGGGAAAGAAGGAGGAAAGGAAGAAGGGACAGGAAGGAAGGGAAGGAGGAAAAGAAGGAAAGGAAGGAGAAGGAAGGGAAGGAGGGAGAGACAGGAAGGAAGGAAAAAGGAAGGAAGGAAAGGAAGGAGGAGAAAGGAGGAAGGAAGGAAGAGGGAAAGGAAGGAGGGGGATGAAGAAAGGAGGGACGGAAGGAAAGTAAGGAGAAGGAAATGAAGAAAGGGAAAGAAGGAGGAAAGGAAGAAGGGAGAGGAAGGAAGGGAAGGAGGAAAAGAAGGAAAGGAAGGAGAAGGAAGGGAAGGAGGGAGAGACAGGAAGGAAGGAAAAAGGAAGGAAGGAAAGGAAGGAGGAGAAAGGAGGAAGGAAGGAAGAGGGAAAGGAAGGAGGGGGATGAAGAAAGGAGGGACGGAAGGAAAGTAAGGAGAAGGAAATGAAGAAAGGGAAAGAAGGAGGAAAGGAAGAAGGGACAGGAAGGAAGGGAAGGAGGAAAAGAAGGAAAGGAAGGAGAAGGAAGGGAAGGAGGGAGAGACAGGAAGGAAGGAAAAAGGAAGGAAGGAAAGGAAGGAGGAGGAAGGAGGAAGGAAGGAAGAGGGAAAGGAAGGAGGGGGATGAAGAAAGGAGGGACGGAAGGAAAGTAAGGAGAAGGAAATGAAGAAAGGGAAAGAAGGAGGAAAGGAAGAAGGGACAGGAAGGAAGGGAAGGAGGAAAAGAAGGAAAGGAAGGAGAAGGAAGGGAAGGAGGGAGAGACAGGAAGGAAGGAAAAAGGAAGGAAGGAAAGGAAGGAGGAGGAAGGAGGAAGGAAGGAAGAGGGAAAGGAAGGAGGGGGATGAAGAAAGGAGGGACGGAAGGAAAGTAAGGAGAAGGAAATGAAGAAAGGGAAAGAAGGAGGAAAGGAAGGAGGGAGGAAAGGAAGAAGGGACAGGAAGGAAGGGATGGAGGAAAAGAAGGAAAGGAAGGAGAAGGAAGGGAAGGAGGGAGAGACAGGAAGGAAGGAAAAAGGAAGGAAGGAAAGGAAGGAGGAGGAAGGAGGAAGGAAGGAAGAGGGAAAGGAAGGAGGGGGATGAAGAAAGGAGGGACGGAAGGAAAGTAAGGAGAAGGAAATGAAGAAAGGGAAAGAAGGAGGAAAGGAAGAAGGGACAGGAAGGAAGGGAAGGAGGAAAAGAAGGAAAGGAAGGAGAAGGAAGGGAAGGAGGGAGAGACAGGAAGGAAGGAAAAAGGAAGGAAGGAAAGGAAGGAGGAGGAAGGAGGAAGGAAGGAAGAGGGAAAGGAAGGAGGGGGATGAAGAAAGGAGGGACGGAAGGAAAGTAAGGAGAAGGAAATGAAGAAAGGGAAAGAAGGAGGAAAGGAAGAAGGGACAGGAAGGAAGGGAAGGAGGAAAAGAAGGAAAGGAAGGAGAAGGAAGGGAAGGAGGGAGAGACAGGAAGGAAGGAAAAAGGAAGGAAGGAAAGGAAGGAGGAGGAAGGAGGAAGGAAGGAAGAGGGAAAGGAAGGAGGGGGATGAAGAAAGGAGGGACGGAAGGAAAGTAAGGAGAAGGAAATGAAGAAAGGGAAAGAAGGAGGAAAGGAAGAAGGGACAGGAAGGAAGGGAAGGAGGAAAAGAAGGAAAGGAAGGAGAAGGAAGGGAAGGAGGGAGAGACAGGAAGGAAGGAAAAAGGAAGGAAGGAAAGGAAGGAGGAGGAAGGAGGAAGGAAGGAAGAGGGAAAGGAAGGAGGGGGATGAAGAAAGGAGGGACGGAAGGAAAGTAAGGAGAAGGAAATGAAGAAAGGGAAAGAAGGAGGAAAGGAAGAAGGGACAGGAAGGAAGGGAAGGAGGAAAAGAAGGAAAGGAAGGAGAAGGAAGGGAAGGAGGGAGAGACAGGAAGGAAGGAAAAAGGAAGGAAGGAAAGGAAGGAGGAGAAAGGAGGAAGGAAGGAAGAGGGAAAGGAAGGAGGGGGATGAAGAAAGGAGGGACGGAAGGAAAGTAAGGAGAAGGAAATGAAGAAAGGGAAAGAAGGAGGAAAGGAAGGGAGGGAGGAAAGGAAGAAGGGACAGGAAGGAAGGGAAGGAGGAAAAGAAGGAAAGGAAGGAGAAGGAAGGGAAGGAAGGAAGGAGGGAGGGACAGGAAGGAAGGAGGGGGAAGGAAAGGAAGGGGAAGGAAGGAAGAAAAGGAAAGAAAGGGAGGAAAGAAAGAAGGGAAGGGAGTGAGGGAGAGAAGGAGTGGAGTGTGGCGGAGGCAGCTACATCTCGGTCTGGATGTTAATGGGGGGAAAAATAATAGTTTTCTAATTTTTCAAAACGGAAGGAACATCCCCCCATACGCACGTACAGCCATATGAAAGGTTGGTTGAACCAAAACAAAACAACAGAAATAATAAATAATTGACAAATAATACGGTCCGCTCTCAGGGCAATCCTGGGCTGTACCTGTTGGGTTGTTGCCAGGCAGTATTCCGCCGTGCTCAGAATGCTACAAATGAGGCAGAGTTCTTCCAGCGTGAACTTGGCCACCTCCGAGCCTTCTTTCTCCTTCAGCAAACTGGTGATGGTCAGCCCGCCGCCACCACTGCTGGTCCTGGGGAGGGAAAGGGACTGCGCTCACCCAAAAGGCTGGATTTATGGACCCAAACCAGCCCCAAGCCCCTGAGACATTTATAACCAAGCATAATAGAGATATTTTAGTCGCCCTCCTAGCTCCAACAGACAACAGTTCTTTCTCCCGCCCTGGACCTTCTACAGGTACCAACCCAATTTTCCAGTTTGTAAGAGACCTCACAACATCTGAAGATTTTTTTGTTGTTGTATCAGGGGCGACTTGAGAAACTGCAAGTCGCTTCTGGTGTGAGAGAATTGGCCGTCTGCAAGGATGTTGCCCAGGGTACACCTGGATGTTTTTGATGTTTTACCATCCTTGTGGGAGGATGCTACCCCTCTATTCTGCTTTGGTTAGACCACACCTGGAATATTGTGTCCAATTCTGGGCACCTCAATTCAAGAGAGATATTGACAAGCTGGAATGTGTCCAGAGGAGGGCGACTGAAATGATCAAGGGTCTGGAGAGCAAGCCCTATGAGGAGCGGCTTAAGGAAATGGGCATGTTTAGCCTGAAGAAGAGAAGGCTGAGAGGAGACATGATAGCCATGTATAAATATGTGAGATGTAAGGGGGATATTGACTCTAAGTTGGAATGTGTCCAGAGGAGGGCGACTGAAATGATCAAGGGTCTGGAGAACAAGCCCTATGAGGAGCGGCTTAAGGAAATGGGCATGTTTAGCCTGAAGAAGAGAAGGCTGAGAGGAGACATGATAGCCATGTATAAATATGTGAGATGTAAGGGGGATATTGACAAGCTGGAATGTGTCCAGAGGAGGGCGACTGAAATGATCAAGGGTCTGGAGAACAAGCCCTATGAGGAGCGGCTTAAAGAGCTGGGCATGTTTAGCCTGAAGAAGAGAAGGCTGAGAGGAGATATGATAGCCATGTATAAATATGTGAGATGTAAGGGGGATATTGACTCTAAGTTGGAATGTGTCCGGAGGAGGGCGATTGAAATGATCAAGGGTCTGGAGAACAAGCCCTATGAGGAGCGGCTTAAGGAAATGGGCATGTTTAGCCTGAAGAAGAGAAGGCTGAGAGGAGACATGATAGCCATGTATAAATATGTGAGATGTAAGGGGGATATTGACTCTAAGTTGGAATGTGTCCAGAGGAGGGTGACTAAAATGATCAAGGGTCTGGAGAACAAGCCCTATGAGGAGTGGCTTAAAGAGCTGGGCATGTTTAGCCTGAAGAAGAGAAGGCTGAGAGGAGATATGATAGCCAAGTATAAGTATGTGAGAGGAAGCCACAGGGAGGAGGGAGCAAGCTTGTTTTCTGCTTCCTTGGAGACTAGGACGCGGAACAATGGCTTCAAACTACAAGAGAGGAGATTCCATCTGAACATGAGGAAGAACTTCCAGATTGTGAGAGCCGTTCAGCAGTGGAACTTTCTGCCTCGGAGTGTGGTGGAGGCTCCTTCTTTGGAAGCTTTTAAACAGAGGCTGGATGGCCATCTGTCAGGGGTGATTTGAATGCAATATTCCTGCTTCTTGGCAGGGGGTTGGACTGGATGGCCCATGAGGTCTCTTCCAACTCTTTGATTCTATGATTCTATGTCCCCGCAATGGGGAGCTGGAGCTGATAGAGGGTGCTCATCCACACTCTCCCCGGATTCAAACCTGCGACCCCTGTGTGAATACCAAGCACAAAGTAGCTGCATGAAGGAGTTCAGCTTGTGATTGTGTTTCAGGATCAGGGTCCTTTGGATGTGGGGAATGATATAAATGAGGTTCAAGATGGCAATGGTTTGGTCAGTGATACAGATGCAGAGAATGTTGCAGAGGTGACAGAGAGACATCTGTTCAAAGTGTAGTTTCCCTTGAGAATGTTCCTACAGGGTATAGGGATGACAGTTTACTCCCTGAATTGCTCCCAGAGAGTTCCCAGAATTTGGGGCTTGAAAACAACTCGGCACCTGCAGAAACTAATGAGCATATAGATAGGCAGGTGGAATTAGTCAAAACAGACAGGCCGAGCAACGCCTTCAGCGTTCTGCCAGGCTTCAACAGAAAAAGATAAGGGCTGCTCAAGGAAAGCGAAACCAGTTTCTGAGTGCTTGGAAAGGCTTAAAAGTTCCAAGCATGGAAAATACAGTCAGATGAAGCATCGTTTAGAATCCTGCTAAGTTCTTGTCCTCGTCTTATAGAAGCCTTCGCTTTGAAGATTCATGCTTTATTTATTTATTTCGAGTATTTCTACCCCGCCCTTCTCAATTATTATTATTATTATTATTATTATTATTATTAACTTTATTTGTACCCCGCTAGCATCTCCGGAAGGACTCGATGAGGCTTACACAGGCCGAAGCCTCAGAACACAATACAGTAGAAACATAACACAACAATAAACAAAGCAAATCAAAATAATTAAGCAAAATAACAGCAACAGTGACAATACATCAAGACACTTTAAAACTGGGCCGGCCGGCGCAATGGGGTACAGGGTTAAAAGTGCTGAAATGGCAGGAGGAACGTAGGATTAAAATAGTGCGGTGTGCAGTAATATTGATTGTACTAAAGTGCTTCTAGGACTTGGGATGGTTTTTAAAATTTTATTATTATTATTGTATAATACATAGAAACATACCATCTTTGAAAATAACATTCAAAATACCAGTTTTTTCCCCAATCCCGCCACCAGCACACCCCCCCCCCCCCCGGGAACAAATAAATACTTTAGCTGTGTTTATTACAATTGTTCAATCATGAGAATAGTTTTGTTCAACACCGTATATTTATCTTTCCCCTTTATTCTATATATGAGACCCTTCCATTTTGCTTTCCATGTCTTTTTGCTTTGACCCGTCATATAGTAACTTTTCCTTTCGCTAATATAATCTTGAAGAAGGTAATCTGCTAAATATTTATACCAGGTTTTTGTATCCCATTTCTTGTGGTCTTTCCAGCCCAGGGCCACTGAGGCTTTAATTCCCTCTATCATATGTTTTATTATTTCCTCACTTTCCTTATATTCCTCTTTATTTTCGAATTTCTGAGTGAAAAATTGGGCCTTATTCCATTCTATCTTGATCCCTAATAGCTCCTCCATTTCTTTCCTGATTATTTCTTGGAACTTTTGGATTTTTTCACATTCCCACCACATGTGGGCATATGTTCCTATTTTACCACAGTTGTGCCAACATAATTTTGGGCACGTTTTTGTGATATGCGCCAGTTGCACAGGAGTTCTGTACCATTTTGTCAATATTTTTCGTTGCATTTCTTTAATCTTTAGGTGTTTTATTTTATTGATTGAATTAATCCAATTGTCTATTTCTCTCTCACTGCAACTTAATTCCTCCTTCCAGACTTCTATTAGGGTAGATTTTGTGTTGTATTGTATTTCGGTGATTGTGTTATATATAAATCCCATGATTCCTTTCTCCCTCTCTACTTTCCATTTTATTATTTTGTCGAGATTTGTTTCTGAGGTTTCCTTATTCTTCAATTCTATTAGCTTTTTAGACAGCCCTCCCCATTGTAACCAATTTCCATGCCCGCATTTATCTTTTATTTCCTCCCATTGAATTACAGTCCCGTCTGGTTTTAGTAAGTCCTCAATCTTTGTTATTCCGTTTTGTTCCAGTTTCTTTAGCATGTTGCGATATAGCTGGGGTTTTCTGTTGTCTAAGGAACCTATTGGGAGCTTGTCTATTTTATTTACTGGGAGTTTATTTTGCCATTTTCCCCAACAAGTCATTGTTAATGACAAGGGGCCTCCTTTTATGTTTTTTAGTTCTTTTCCCCCAATTTTCCCCATAATGCAAGATCCATATTCCCACCCGTTTGTTAATTTCTCTAACCTAACCCATCTTTTGGGCTCACCGATATCTAATTCAAGTAACCTAGCCAATTGACAGGCTTCGTAATAGTTCTGGAGGCAAGGTGCTCCCCAACCTCCATTTTCTTGTGGAGTATAAAAAATTGAATTTGCAATTCTGGTTTTACTAGAGCCTACTACCCATGTTTTAATTGAGTTATCCCATTTCTTTATTATTTTGGGAGGAATGCTACATGGAAGGCATTGAAATAAGTACAAAAGTTTGGGCAGTATCATCATTTTATATGTCTTCACCCTTGTTGTTATATCCCAATTCCATTTTTTCCAATTGTTAATCTGTTTGCTTATTTTCTTCCATAGTTGGTTATAATTTATCTGAATTATGTTATTTAGATTTTTAGGTATATACACTCCTAAGTATTTTAACTTGTGCAGCAATATTAATTGTACTAAAGTGCTTCTAGGACTTGGGATGGGGAATTCCTAATCTGAGAAGGCACATCGGAACAGCCACGTTTTTAGGTTCTTTCTGAAAGCGCTAAAGTAGGGGCCTGTCGAAGATCTTTTGGAAGGGCGTTCCAAAGTCGGGGGGCCGCCACAGAAAAGGCCTGAGTCTCAACCCCCGAGGGGGGACTCAGGGCGGCTTACAAAGGCACAATTCGATGCCAGCATAAACATAACAATGGATAAAACATGTAAACAGCAATTATAACACTTAAGACAGTCAGTATATACATTCAAATCAATAAAAACAATCTAATGCTCAGTGTTCGCCATCTCAGAGTCCGTAAATTCATTCCACATTGTCAAGTACTATCGATTCTGGTCGTCATTGTCCTTATCTAACCGCCAGATTGCCCGAAAGCCTGGTCCCACAACCATGTTTTTAATTTCCTTCTAAAAGAGAGGAGGGATGTCGATCTAATTTCCCCGGGGAGTGAATTCCACAGGTGAGGGGCCACCACCAAGAAGGCCCTGCTCCTCGTCCCCACCAATCTCACTTGTGATAGAGGTGGAGTCGAGAGCAGGGCCTCCCCATAAGATCTCAAACTCCGAGGTGGGATGTAGAGGGAGATGCGTTCGGACAGGTACACTGGGCCGGAGCCGTATAGGATTTTTTGTTTCTTGGTTTGGTTTTTTGTCTCTTGTGATTATCTGCTCATGCCTTGGATCAAAGTTTTCTGGTTCTTTGGATTGCGTTAGAGAGTTGTGGACTTTGTTTTTGGACAGTGCTGAACTCTACCTTGGACTAATCTATTACTGCTTATCTTTTTACCTAATTGGATTTACCTATTCCTTTTAAAGTGCTTTTTTTTACTTTGCTGTTTTAAAAAGATTGTTTTCCTATTCAACATGTGGTGTTTTAAAGTCAGAGGGTTATTCCTGTCCTGGAGTGCAACAGCTCTGGGCAATGGCAACAATTCATAAACTGGGAGGCAAAAACCCGCGAAACAGTGAGTCCGCGAAAAGTGAAACGCGAAATAGAAAGGGTGTTGTGGTTCAGTCTGGGCCTGAGCTTTCTGAACCTGAGTTTCCTCAGGACGAGGAGGTTGACGGGTTACAGATTTCTGAGTCAAATGAGGCAGACAGTGTTGATTCTGAAGAAGAGACAGCATTTCTGTTCCCTAGAGAAAATAATGTGTTTTCAGATAAGGATAGTGAAACTTCAGAGCTCCAGGTGGAGAATCCTTCTGAGAGCTCTCGGTTCCAGCTGGACGAGGATAATGAGGTAACCAGCCTTGAAGATAATAGTGGAGATTTGATTAGAGAGGACCGGTTGCAATTAAGAGTTCGAAGAAGTGCACGCCTTGCCAACAAGCGTGAAGCTAGAGGTCAACGTAATGCTTTTATGTTGGGGAAACTTATTTAATGACTTGGTTGAAGGGCATTCTCTGTCAATCCAATGTTGCTTTTACACTGTTAACTTCTGTGGAATTACCTTGGCTTTTGCGGAAAGCTTCTGGCTTTTTGGGAATTTGATTTTGATCTTGTTTTTGGAGACTTTGTCTTGCTGCCGTGGACTTTTGCTTAACCAATGCTAAAGGACTATGCTTTGATTAGAGAGGACCGGTTGCAATTAAGAGTTCAAAGAAGTGCACGCCTTGCCAACAAGCGTGAAGCTAGAGGTCAACGTAATGTTTTTATGTAGGGGAAACTTATTTAGCAGTGGAACTCTCTGCCCCGGAGTGTGGTGGAGACTCCTTCTTTGGAAGCTTTTAAACAGAGGCTGGATGGCCATCTGTCAGGGGTGATTTGAATGCAATATTTCTGCTTCTTGGCAGGGGGTTAGACTGGATGGCCCATGAGGTCTCTTCCAACTCTTTGATTCTATGATTCTATGACACGAAATAAATAAATAGATATTGATTCTTCCTCCCACCCTGGACATTATTCCACAAGTCTGTGCGCATTCAGAAGAAGATCTACAAGCCACTCTAAACACCTTCGCAGAAGCATACACGAAGCTTGGCCTGTCACTGAACATCGAGAAAACCAAAGTGCTGTTCCAGCAGTCACCAGCCACCCCCTCCCCAATGCCAGAGATACAGCTTAATAGTGTAACGTTAGAAAATGTTGACCATTTCCGCTCCCTTGGCAGCCACCTCTCCACCAAAGTCAACATCGATGCCGAAATACAACATCGCCTGAGCTCTACAAGTGCAGCATTTTCCCGAATGAAGCAGAGAGTGTTCGAGGACCGGGACATCCGTAGGGATACCAAGGTGCTTGTCTATAAAGCTAGTGTCCTCCCAACCCTGCTATATGCCTGTGAGACGTGGACTGTGTACAGACGTCATATGCAACTCCTGGAACGATTCCATCAGCGCTGCCTCCGGAAAATCCTGCAAATATCTTGGGAAGACAAGCGGACAAACGTCAGCGTGCTGGAAGAAGCAAAGACCACCAGCATTGAAGCGATGGTCCTCCGCCATCAACTCTGCTGGGCCAGCCATGTTGTCCAGATGCCTGACCACCGTCTCCCAAAGCAGTTGCTCTACTCCAAACTTAAGTACGGAAAACGGAATGTTGGTGGACAGGAAAAGAGATTTAAAGATGGCCTCAAAGCCAACCTTAAACACTCTGGCATAGACACTGAGAACTGGGAAGCCCTGGCCCTTGAGTGCTCCAACTGGAGGTCAGCTGTGACCAGCAGTGCTGCAGAATTCGAGGAGGCACGAGTGGAGCGTGAAAGAGAGAAACATGCCAAGAGGAAGGCGCGTCAAGCCAACCCCGACCGGGACCGCCTTCCACCTGGAAACCAATGCCCACGCTGCGGAAGAAGATGCAGAGCAAGAATAGGGCTCCACAGCCACATGCGGACCCACAAGGAAACCCATAATGGAAGACCATCTTACTCGTCCAACGAGGGATCGCCTAAGTAAGTAAGTATTCCACAAGTATATATACTCCACTTGCTTTACCAACATCAGATCCTCTGAAGACACCAGCCACAGATGCAAGCAAAACGTCAGGAGAAAATGCTGCTAGAACACATTGGCCATTGAGCCCAGAAACCACACAACACTCTGATAGTGATAACGATGAGCTAAAAACTCACTTGGGCAGGTTTCCCGAGAGTATCTTCCAGGCATATTCCCGGAGGTATTTCTGGAAGATGGTGGTCAGGGCGATCATGGGCTCGCCGGTGCTGAGCTGCGAACACTGGACCATGCACTTCTTGTAATAGACAAAGAGGTCAGCGCAGCTGGGCAGGACGGCCCCTCCTTCGTCCACGTTGGGCTTGGGAGGCCCCTGGGCTTTGAAATCCCCAACAAAGCGGTCAATCAGCTCACTCAAATTCCTGGGAAATTAAAAATTTGGAATGGGGAACACACATTAAAAGCCGAAGAGAAACAGATGGAAAAAATATATCCAAAAATGGAGGTGATGTGGAACAATCAACTTGTATATTTCTATTACTTACTTGTCCTGGGATTCGATATAGACATAGAGATGGGGCTCGAAGCACTTGGAAATGATCCCATGGAATGGATTATCTGGAACCTTTGGCTTTTTGGGCTAGGAGAAAACGAGAGCTGTCAGGATTTTTTTATTTATCGTGTCAGAAGCAAATTGAGACTATAGAAAAACTACACAGTTAAAAACTTGGCATTGAAGGATGCTAAGCAAGGGGCTTTGAATGAAATTAACAGCAAAAGAGAAACATACCCTTTCTCTGCAGAAAAAAGCAACACGGAAGAAAATGTTTTTAAGAAACAAGATGTGACATGTAGAGGTCGGAAGTTGTATTGTGGTAAAGTTCAAAGGTTGTTTTTTGAAGCACAGAGTCTGCAGGTACAAGAAGGTACTTTCCATCAAAAGGTCAAGGGAGGGGGCTGGAAAGAGAGTACTTTCCATGACAAAAAATGTTCTTGTTTACTTGAGGTTATATATTGGTGGTAAAAAGCCAAGAAGAGGCAGCAGTCACTTGAAGGGGGTTTATTATTTATTTATTTGTTTGCTTACAGCAGGGGTAGGGAACCTTTGGCCCTCCAGCTGTGGTGGACCTCAACTCCCACAATTCCTTGAGGCTCGGCATTGGGCCAAGGTAAGCCTTTGGGGCGAATGCCGAGCCTCAAGGAATTGTGGGAGTTGAAGTCCACCACAGCTGGAGGGCCAAAGGTTCCCTACCCCTGGCTTACAGTGTTTGTATACCACTTTTCTCACCCCGAGGGGGACTCAAAGCTTATTACTTATTACACATAAGTAATACCAAAATTCACATCTGCTATCAGCCACTGATTGAAGTTCTGGGTTTTTGCCTGCCACTTTTGGACTCTTGCTTGCTGAGATGTTCCTGTGAGTTTCTCTGTAGATGTTAGGAAGCTATTTCTTGATTTAAGGCATTGGAGTGCTGGCCATTGTTCCACATCCTAGTCTCCAAGGAAGCACAAAACAAGTTTGCTCCCTCCTGCCTGTGGCTTCCTCTCACATATTTATACATGGCTATCATATCTCCTCTCAGTCTTCTCTTCTTCAGGCTAAACATGCCCAGCTCCTTAAGCTGCTCCTCATAGGGCTTGTTCTCCAGACCCTTGATCAGATGTCACTGCCTTGGTCCTTTCATTACTGGCTGCTACTTCCTGACAGATATTGGGTAGTGCAATATCAGCTACACAGTATAGTTTCTCCAGTGGTGTGGGGTTTAGACATCCTGTGATAATGCGGCATGTCTCATTAAGAGCCACATTCACCGTTTTAACGTGGTGAGATGCATTCCACACTGGACATGCGTACTCAGCAGCAGAGTAGCAAAAGCGCAAGGGCAGATGTCTTCACTGTGTCTAGTTGTGATCCCCAGGTTGTGCCAGTCAGCTTTCGTACGATATTATTTCCAGCACCCACTTTTTGCTTGATAGTCAAGCAGTGCTTCTTTTAAGTCAGAGCACGGTCTAGAGCAGTGGTTCTCAGTCTGGGGTCCCCAAATGTTTTTGGCCTTCAACTCCCAGAAATCCTAAATCCTAGAGTGACTCCCAGGTATTTGGGTGTGCTGCAATGCTCCAGTGGGATTCCTTCCCAGGTAATCCTCAGAGCTTGGGATTCTTGCCTGTTCTTAAGGTGAAAAGCACAGGGAAATTCAGCTGGTTTTCCCTGTAATAGACAGTAAGAGCACCTATATTTTCAGAGAACTTCTGTTCAACCATTTCAAAGCTCCCTGCTTGAGTGGTGATGGCACGATCGTCAGCATAGATTAAATTCTCTGTCCCTTCTGGCAATGGCAGATCATTTGTGTACATGTCTTGTTTGACGAAATCAGCATAAAATATGCTCAAGTGTGCCATTGACCTACCTTGTCGATATCGGCCTTTTCTGGTGTGACATCGTCTGCCTCCGGAGAAGTATCATCTTCCAGGAAGGGGTTGGTCGAGGCTAGAGGTGATTCAGCCTTTTTCTAATGAAAAACAACAATAGGATGATGTTCAGCAAAAAAAAAGACAATCTGGGATTTGGGAGGTTAAAAGTACAGTAGGACCCTTGCATCTGCCGAACCAACAAGTGCATTTTCACTTATCTATGTTTTTACTTATTCACTTAGGGCAGTGGTTCCCAACCTAAGGTCCGTGGATGACCAGTGGTCAACAAGAACTAGAATACGTTCTGCGGCCAGTTATTACACGGTTGCAACGAGAGTGACTGGTCTCGTGAAACCCTTTTATAGTGTCAAGGCTTATTAAATATGTTTTTCTGAGGGCAACCAGATGGCAACTACTGGATGGCATATGTTCTGTATCAGAAACTAGAGCTGATGTGGTTTATCCAATGCAGTGTTCTGAATCAACATCCCAAATAACCAAACTCAATCTAGAGTTGATCAAAAAGAGATTCACAACACTTTTGGTACTCTTGTTGGAGAGTGGTCCCAGTTCAAAAGATCCCTGGTCAAAGTGGTTCCTGGTCAAAGTGGTCCTGGTCAAGGTGGCGCCTGGTCAAAGTTGTCCCTGGTCAAGGTGGTCCCTGGTCAAGGTGGCGAATTGTCAGAGTGGTCCCTGGTCAAAGTGGTCCCTGGTCAAGGTGGCGCATTGTCAAGCTGGTCCTTGGTCAAGGTGAACCCTGGTCAAAGTTGTCCCTGGTCAAGGTGGCGCCTGGTCAAAGTGGCCCATGGTCAAGGTGGCCCTTGGTCAAGGTGGTCCCTGATCAAAGTGGTCCCTGGTCAAGGTAGCCTTTGGTCAAGGTGGCGCCTGGTCAAAGTGGTCCCTGGTCTAGGTGGCGCATTGTCAAGGAGGTGCCTGGTCAAAGTGGTCCCTGATCAAGGTGGCGCATTGTCAAGGTGGTCCCTGGTCAAGGTGGACCCTGGTCAAAGTGGCCCATGGTCAAGATGGCCCTTGGTCAAGGTGGTCCCTGGTCAAAGTGGTCCTTGGTCAAGCTAGCCCTTGGTCAAGGTGGCGCCTGGTCAAAGTGGTCCCTGGTCTAGGTGGCGCATTGTCAAGGAGGTGCCTGGTCAAGGTGGTCCCTGGTCAAATTGGTTCTTGGTGAAGTGGTCCCTGGTGAAGGTGGTCCCTAGTCAAGGTGGTCCCTGGTCAAAGTGGTCCCTGGTCAAAGTGGCCCCTGGTCAAAGTGGTCCCTGGTCAAGGTGGTCCCTGGTCAAATTGGTCCCTGGTCAAAGTGGTCCCTGGTCAAGGTGGTCCCTGGTCAAAGTGGTCCCTGGTCAAATTGGTTCTTGGTCAAGTGGTCCCTGGTCAAGGTTGCTCTCTGGTCAAGGTGGTCCCTGGTCAAGGTGGTTCCTGGTCAAGGTTGTCCCTGATCAAGGTGGTCCCTGGTTAACGTGGTTCCTGGTTAACGTGGCCCTTGGTCAAGTTGGTCCCTGGTCAAAATGGTCCCTGGTCAAGGTGGTCCCTGGTCAAGGTGGTGCCTAGTCAAAATAAGGTTGGGAACCACTGACTTGGGGCCTCTTTTATAAGTTAAACCCTTTTCTCAGCACTTCTGTCCTTCATCTCATTGAATAGGGTTCGCTATTATACACAGTTCCACATATTCATGTGAAGTCCAGGATATGAAGATTGTCCTGTACTTAAACGTTTCTGTGAATAATCTGACAGCAAGGAGAAATCATGGTAAAATTATTCATTCTTGTCTGTGAGAACAACCTTTACACATTTTGCAAGGGAGCCTGTCCACTCTCATTACTCAGGAGTTGACAGCCATGAACGCCAAACCCAACAGGAGAGAAGAACGACGCTCACCACAACGGTATCCGATAAGGTGCAGCCAGAGAAGCGTTTGGCTAGGAAACCTTCAAAGTTGGTGGTTCTTTGGATGGCAAACAAAAGGAGTTTCACTTCAATTTCCCTCGCTCGGGTTCGCATGATCTTTGCAAGCTCCGTCCTGAGTTGTGTGAGGGGAGAAAGGAGGACAGGAAGCATATTATTATTATTTTACTGACACAAAAACACAGTATGTCACAGCAAACAAGATCTATATGCTGGATTTTGTATCACAAAATCACAAGTCGAACACTTCCCAAGCATCTAGGACTGTGTGATGTATTATTACTAATATAATATATTGTATATACATATAATATTTATAATATTATAATGTAATGCAATATAATAATATATTTATATATTTATATAACATGTAATATTACTAATAATATTGCAATATAAAGCTATAGTACAATATAGTAATATTTAATAGTTATATTGTACTATGCTAATAATGTAATATATTGTATTATATATACAATATATAATACAATATATTACAATGGACAGTATGTCACAGCAAACGAGATCTATATGCTGTATTTCGTATCACAAAATCACAAGTTGAACACTTCCCAAGCATCTAGGACTGTGTGATGCATTATTACTAATATAATATATTGTATATACATATAATATTATATAATATTATAATGTAATGCAATATAATAATATGATATTATAATTATATATTTATATTACATGTAATCTATATAAATAAAAATGTAATGTTAGTTCGTGCTACCATCAGAACTCAAAACACTGGGGGAATTGACACTAAATTTGGACACAAGACACCTAACAGTCCAATTTATGTCCTCCACTCAAAAAATTGATTTTGTCATTTGGGAATTGTCATTGCTGGGATTTATAGTTTACCTACAATCAAAGAGCATTCTGAACTCCACCAATGATGGAATTGGCCCAAACTTAGAACACAGGGCTGCCATGACCAACAGAAAAAACCGCTTTGAGTCGCCTAAGGGCTGAGAAAAGCGGTATAGAAATAAAGTAAATAAATAAAAAACGGAGAGGGTTTGGTGGGCATTGACCTTGAGTTTAGGAATTACAGTTCACCCACATCCAGAGAGCACTGTGGACTCAAACAATGATGGATCTGGACCAAATTTGGCATGAATATTCCATATGCCCAAATATGAACACAGATGGAGTTTAAGGGAAATAGACCTTGACATTTGGGAGTTGTAGTTGCTGGGATTTATAGTTCACCTACAATCAAAGAGCATTCTGAACTCCACCAATGATGGAATTCAACCAAACATGGCATACAGGACTTCCATGACCAACAGAACACACTGGAAGGGTTTGGTGGGCATTGACCTTGAGTTTGGGAGTTGTAGTTCACCTACATCCAGAGAGCACTGTGGACTCAAACAATGATGGATCTGGACCAAACTTGACAAAAAATTCCATATGCCTAAATATGAACACAGATGGAGTTTGGAGGAAATAGACCTTGACATTTGGGATTTGTAGTTACTGGGATTTATAGTTCACTACAATTAAAGAGCATTCTGAAACCCACAAATGACAGAAATGGGGCAAACTTCCCACACAGAACCCCCATGACCAACAGATGCTTGCCATAGATGCAGGCAAAACGTCAGGAGAGAATGCCTCTAGACCATGGCCATATAGCTCGGAAAAACCTACAACAACCCAATGATGATGAGATTTGTTGATATTTTAAAACACATTTTCTTGAAAAAATATGTACGAATGAATACATTTTATATTAGGCTTTGCATTCATGTATGCTTCCCGGAATGGCTTCCAAGCATCACAACATTCAAAAATCTGGACCATGAAAATGAACGATCATTGCTCAACAATCTGCAAGTGTTTTCCTGCATTCCCAGCTATACTGAGTCTCTTTTTCAAAGCCAAATCCAATGTAAACATTCCATATCTATATTATTAACTGTATTTATACTCCGCCTTTCTCCCCGTGAGGACTCAAGGTAGCTAACAATCCACACTTGACAAGTTTAATACAAGTTAAAAAAACAATGAAATAGTAACAGGGTCGTAAAAGCAGAATTAAAATACAATAAATACACTAAAATGGCCTTCAAAACTCATACATTAGGCTGAGTTTTAGTCTAATGCCTAGATCCAGGGAAATCCTGCTACCCATGCTCTATTCTGCCTTGGTTAGACCACATCTGGAAGCACACTGTGTCCAATTCTGGGCACCGCAATTGAAGGGAGATGTTGACAAGCTGGAACTTGTCCAGAGGAGGGTGACAAAAATGATCAAGGGTCCTGGAGAACAAGCCCTATGAGGAGCGGCTTAAAGAGCTGGGCATGTTTAGCCTGAAGAAGAGTAGGCTGAGAGGTGACATGATAGCCATGTATAAATACATGAGAGGAAGTCACAGGGAGGAGGGAACAAGCTTGTTTTCTGCTGCCCTGCAGACTAGGACGCAACGAAGCAATGGCTTCAAACTACAAGAAAGGAGATACCATCTGAACATTAGGAAGATCTTCCTGACTGTGAGAGATGTACAGCATTGGAACTCTCTGCCCCAGAGAATGGTGGAGGCTCCTTCTTTGGAGGCTTTTAAGCAGAGGTTGAATGGTGTAATGAATCCCTTGCCTTAGCTGGCTGCCTGAGGCCTAAGGAAGTGGGCCTGGTGAGGCCACGGCATCCATTTTAGGAAAGGAAGACAGGGAGAAGCCATCTTTGTTAGGTTTGCCTTGAGGCCGCGTGTTCAAGTCTTAGAGGGAAAATCAGAAGGCTAGGATTGGCTAGGAAGATGGGGGTGGAGCCTAAATGTTCTAGAGGGAAAAAAGTGTCTTTTAAACTGAGGCTTGAAGTCCCAGTTTTAGTCAGTTAGAGTTTGGAACTGTTAGAGAGAAGAAGTGTTGGTGTTAGTCAGAACGGGTTTGGGTTTAGAAAAGAAGATTGAGTCAGTCTTTTGTGAAGTATTCAGAGTAGCTATTTAGTAGATAGCTAGAATACTGTTTTGTGGAGCAGTACCCCGTTAGTGGTCTGTTCAATTCCTAAGGAAGTCTAATTCAGGGTATTTTTGGCTAGATTCCTAAGGGGCATTTTTGGGAGTTACTTTCAGAGATTCATTTCCTGAAGTAATTTTCTGTGGTGGAAGTTTGAAGACTTGTAACCCAGAAGTTTTTAAGATTTTGACTCTAACGCAACCACAGTATTTTACTAAAACCAATAAGCATTTGTACCGGAATTATTCAAGCCTGTTCTATAAACATTCTTGTTATTTTATTCAACTTATACCAGCCTCAGTGTGAATACCTTTGTGGTCAAAGTATTATTAAAGTCAGCATCACAGCAGCTATATATGTGCCACAGAAACTATAGTGGCACAATGTGTGTTACAGAATAAACTCTCAATATTACCTCAGCCTGATTAATATTAATAATGGTGGTAGCGGAATTCTTTTGAAGAAGTATTTTATGTCTCTCAGTTCTAGTGGTTCCCAGTTCCTACCTTTAAAATATAAATTTGTTTCAGCAACCATACTCCCTTATCCTTTTGACGGCTTCATAATTTTGGTTGAGTACTGGGATTATTTTATATATAATTCCCCGTCAATAATTAAATTATTTAAAAATCTTACTACTACTCGCTGCGTTATTATAGATGGCCATCTATTGGGGGTGCTTTGAATACGATTTTCCTGCTTCTTGGCAGGGGGTTGGACTGAGTGGCCCAGGAGATCTCTTCCAACTCTATGTTTCTATGATTCTATAAATTGTTGTATCACTAGTTACAGGGGTGCAACTTCAGTATAAGGTGGAGGAGGAATATTACATGGTTTACGTGCTACCACTTGCTGTTGGCTCATATTCTGTTTAAGCCCCGACTTGGCAGAAAGATGAAATATAAATAAACCAATTTAAAAACTATCTACTAAAAACTATCTAAACAGTTTAAAAACTATTCTATGATTCTACTTGTGTTGCCTGAACAACGGAGTTTCAAAAAGAACTGAGAGACTTAAAATACTTCTTCAAAAGAATTCCGCTACCACCATTATTAATATTAATCAGGCTGAGGTAATATTGAGAGTTTATTCTGTAACACACACTGTGCCACTATAGTTTCTTAGAGACTCCTGTGAAGCTGACTTTGATCACAAAGGTATTCACACTGAGGCTGATATAAGTTGAATAAAATAACAAGAACGTTTATAGAACAGGCTTGAATAATTCCAGTACAAATGCTTATTGGTTTCAGTAAATTACTGTGGTTGTGTTAGAGTCAAAATGTTAAAAACTTCTGGGTTACAAGTCTTCAAAATTCCACCACAGAAAATTGCTTCATGAAATGTATCTCTGAAAGTAACTCCCAAAAATGCCCCTTAGGAATCTAGCCAAAAAATACCCTGAACTAGACTTCCTTAGGAATTGAACAGACCACTAACGGGGTACTGCTCTACAAAACAGTATTCTAGCTATCTACTAAATAGCTACTCTGAATACTTCACAAAAGACTGACTCAATCTTCTTTTCTAAACCCAAACTTGTTCTGACTAACAGACTTCAGAGAAAGACTCTCCATCCCACCACCCCAAAATGAAGACGAATCACCACTGGGCCACTCTCCGGAGCTTGGAGGATAAATCTCTCAATCGCAGGCACCGCTCCACACCTTGTAATGTGGCAGAAGTCCACAGCGATGCGTTCCGTCATACACCATTCTGGTGGGAACATGCGGCCGTATTTCTCCTCATAGTCCACAAACTGGCGTTTGATCCAAGCATACCGCCGGTCGATTTTATCCAGCCAGGCTACCTGCAGGCAAATGAAAAAGGGGACACGATTCATGGTTGAGGTTTCAGGGTGCTTTGTCAGACTCTATGTTATCCCAATACTGATGCTGCTAATGAGTGTCCAGCAACATGGAGAACAAGAAAGAAATACCGTATGCTTGCATCCAATTTTAAAAATAGAGATTCCTAACGTACATCTTGGTTTTCCTGGAAGAGCACCAAGTATTCTGAAAGGTGCTGCTTAATAAACTTCTTGATGATCTCCTGCTTGATGCGAGGGTCCAAGACGTTTGCAACCAGACATGCGTCCCGGAGGACGTTGCTGGGCCCACCGGCCCTCTACCAAGAGGGAGAAGGAGAAAGAAAAGAACAGGTCAATACTAGGAAATTGCCTTAAACATTTAGAGTGAAAGTCTATTTTAATTCTGATTGTTGTTGCATGCTATAGCTATTTTTATTTATTTATTTACAACATTTATATGTTGCCCTTCTCACCCTGAAGGGGAAACAGAGCAGCTTACAAGATATATATATATACACACGCACAATATATATTATTAGCATAGTACAATATCAGTATTATATATTACTATATTGTACTATGCCGTTGTATTGTAATTTTATTAGTAATATTATATGTAATATAAAATATATAACTATTATATTGTATTATTATAAAATATATAACTATTATATTGTATTATACGCAGGCATTAAATCGTGCCTTGCTCCTGTAAGCCGCCCTGAGTCCCCTTCGGGGTGAGAAGGGCGGGGTATAAGAACCCCAAATAAATAAATAATAAATTATTATTAGTATTATATTGTAAAACATTATAATATTATAAATATTATATGTATATACAATATATTGAATTACATTACATTATACTATATTATTAGCGTAGCACAGGAGACAAAATGGAACTGTCCCCTGCCCCCCTCTCTCTTTATTCTGGCCCAGAGCAACGGCTGGTGCTGGGGGGAGGGGTCCCCAACTGATGACATATGCAGGAGACAAGATGGAACTGTCCCCCTCTTCACTCTGGTCCAGAATGGCAGTTGGCGGGGGGGAGGGGTCCCCCACTGATGACATATGCATGAGGCAAGATGGAACTGTCCCCTGCCCCCCCCCCCTTTCATTTAGGCCCAGAGCGGCAGTTGGTGCTGGAGGGAGGGGTCACCAACTGATGACATATGCAGGAGGCAAGATGGAACTGTCCCCTGGCCCCCTCTCTCTTCACTCTGGCCCAGAATGGCAGTTGATGCTGTAGGGAGGGGTCCCCAACTGATGACATATGCAAGAGACAAGATGGAACTGTCCCCTGGCCCCCTCTCTCTTCACTCTGGCCCAGAGTGGCAGTTGATGCTGGGGGAGGGGTCCCCAACTGATGACATATGCAGGAGACAAGATGGGGGTTGTAAAGAATACCTTTGTGCCTTGAGAAGGAAAGGCTTCTTCAAAGTCTGCCAAGATCTGTTGCCCCAGCTCGTTCTGGGCAGCCTTCACCCTTCCAAAGAGAGAACAAGAAATGAAGTTACTGTTCTGGAGGGAAAAAGATGAAACATGCAGAATAATCACAGGATGTCTTAAACCTACACCTGTTGATAAACTCTACAAGCTAGCTGGCATTGCCCCCCCCCCCCCCCCGATGTGCGACGAGAAGTTGCTGCTAAATGTGAGAGAAATAAGGTTGAACACTGTGAAAGCCACCCACTACATGGCTACCAGCCTCCTCCCAGTAGACTCCAATCAAGGAAAGATTTCATGAGAACTACCACTCCATGCAAACCAGGTAAACATAGCATTGAATGAAACATGCAGAATAATCACAGGATGCCTTAAACCCACAGCTAGCTGTTCTAGTGAGGCAGAGTCGCCAGGAACAGCTCCATCACTCCATAGCTTACCTTTCTGAAAGCTGTCGGATCTGTGGGATCCCCATATACTTGTTGAAATGCTCTAGCACATTGACGACGCCTTGGAGAAGGTTGGCAACTTCTCCATACTGCCTCCGCCTCGTCATCGCCCTAGAGCAGCGGTCAAGATGGAGGAGAGAAGGATACTTAATGTGGAAATCACAATTGGCTTCCTTCTCACCTACAGTGTGCCCTTCAGACCGGATTCCCACTCCTAATTCCTCCATTTGTCATCTGAATTGTATGCGTAACACCAAATGAAGTTTAGGCTCATTTTGTTGCACTGCAGGCCTGGAAACACCTATGACCATCACACCACACAAGAATCCAGGAATATAAGCAAGCAGTTTATTGTAAAAACACATAAAAAGCAAATAAAAATCAGGAATAAGAAAAGAAGATATACAATCCAAGAATCAACAGGTTCATAACCCAACAGTAATCCAAATGTCTCATTGTCAGGTTTTACAATGTATTGTAATGTAATATAGCTGAGTCATGCACTACTAATGGGCTTCTATTGGGAATGCTGAGTCATGCATTAACTGTATATAGGGAATCGTTTGGGGAATGTGTTCTGGCCTAGTCCAGGTGATTGTGAATGATGCAATCCTGGGTCTGAGTTAAGTTAATGAGTTGGGAACCAATCAGAGATTACTATGTGTAATTGTATAGAATTGTATATAAGGAAGTCATGTACAGTGTATATCTCTCTCCTTGTGCTGTAATGTTGTTTGTCGAAGGCTCTATGTAATTGATTAAAAGAACCTGTTTACTAAAACAGGATATAACTGTATGCTGTGGTAAGTTTGTAATGTCATCTCGACTGGGGGAAAGACAATGGTAAAGCTGACAATGGCCGGGCATGTGCTCAAGTGTCTGTAAAAGGTTCCAGAGTGACTGCAGGCTGTGGGAGCAATTGACTGAAAATACTGTGCAGGAAGAAGCTACTGGAAAGCGCTGAAGTTGTGCAACTGATCTGCTGCTGAATTGTGAAGTTAATCTCAACACTCATAAAGTTCCAGAGGTGATGAAGTCAAGGAACAGCCAGAAATGGCAGGTACAATATAAATCCACAAGCAAGAAGGTATAACTAGTAAAAACTTGAACTGGAGTACATGAACGGGAACATAGAAAACTTCCAGGATATATTAAATCCAAAACCAAGGCTTGACTTGAACCAGGAGCGAGAGAACTCAAGCTTAGCTTCTCACTCTAATGCAGTATTGCCAGAACTGACCTTAAAGTAAAGAAATTAAGGTAAACAACTTTTATAGACACTCATGAAAGCATTACGTCTCCCGTGAATTTTCTCCACAACTTTCCCACGTAACCTCTCTGAACAATTTCTGGTTTGTAAACAAATACTTTTGTTGATCTCTATAGCTAGAGAGGGTCTCTCCTGGGAACCCTCCTTATCACTCAGCTTTTCACTCGATTCCTTATCTGCTGTTGCTACTTCTGACACATCGGCAAAAAAAAGCCAATGGGATTTTGGCCTGCATCAATAGGAGCCTAGTGTCTAGATCTAGGGAAGTCATGCTACCCCTCTATTCCGCCTTGGTTAGACCACACCTGGAATATTGTGTCCAATTCTGGGCACCACAATTGAAGAGAGATATTGACAAGCTGGAATGTGTCCAGAGGAGGGCGACTAAAATGATTAAGAGTCTGGAGAACAAGCCCTATGAGGAGCAGCTTAAAGAGCTGGGCATGCTTAACCTGATGAAGAGAAGGCTGAGAGGAAATATGATAGCCATATATAAATATGTGTGAGGAAGTCACAGGGAGTAGGGAGCAAGCTTGTTTTCTGCTTCCCTGGAGACTAGGACACGGAACAATGGCTTCAAACTACAAGAAAGGAGATTCAATCCGAACATTAGGAAGAACTTCCTGACTGTGAGAGTCGTTCAGTAGTGGAACTCTCTGCCCCTGAGTGTGGTGGAGGCTCCTTCTTTGGAAGCTTTTAAACAGAGGCTGGATGGCCATCTGTCAGGGATGATTTGAATGTAATATTCCTGCTTCTTGGCAGGGGGTTGGACTGGATGGCCTATGAGGTCTCTTACAACTATGATTCCCCTGTATGCCCTTGAGGCAGTATTACCTGAACTGACCTTAAAGTAAAGAACTTAGCATTGATGCTGTTTGCAATTTATAACGTAGACTTCAAAGTATGCATGTATGTTTAAATGCAGTAGCTATGTGCCGAGTGTAATATATTCCTGCGTGGAAAGAGTTAACTGAACCATGGAGGGAACGGCATTCCTAGAGAGGTCATAAATCAAGTGTATAGAACAAATGGACGCAGCATTGTGCGTAGTACGTCATACGTCACTTTGGAATGCAAGAGGTGTGGACTAGTACTGATAACCGTCTCTCCTGGGAACCCTCCTTATCACTCAGCTTTCCACTCGATTCCTTATCTACTGTTGCTACTTCTGATTCCCCTGAATGCTCTCAAGACAGTATTACCTGAACTGACCTTAAAGTAAACAACGTAAGGTAAACAACTTTCATAGACACCCATGAAAGCATTACGTCTCTCGTGAATTTTCTCCACAACTTTCCCACGTAACCTCTCCGAACAGCTCTGATTTGTAAACAAATACTTTTGTTGATCTCCGTAGCTAGAGAGGGTCTCTCCTGGGAATCCTCCTTATCACTCAGCTTTTCACTCGATTCCTTATCTGCTGTTGCTACTTCTGATTCCCCTGAATGCCCTCGAAGCAGTATTTCCTGAACTGACCTTAAAGTAAACGACTTAAGGTAAACAACTTTCATAGACACCCATGAAAGCATTATGTCTCTCGTGAATTTTCTCCACAACTTTCCCACGTAACCTCTCTGAACGGCTCTGATTTGTAAACAAATACTTGGGTTGATGGGTTGTTGTAGGTTTTTCCAGGTTATATGGCCATGTTATAGAGGCATTTTCTCCTGCCATTTCGCCTGCATCTATGGCAAGCATCCTCAGAGGTAGTGAGGTCTGTTGGAAGTAGGAAGTAGTCCCCCAGGCACTTCCAAGCCATTAAATGCTAATCAAGGTGGTCAGTTGAAGCATTCACACCTAGCTCCAGCAGACAAAAGTCCTTTGTCCCACCCTGGTCATTCCACAGATATATAAACCCATTTTCCTACTTCCAACAGACCTCTCTACCTCTGAGGATGCTTGTCATAGATGCAGGCGAAACGTCAGCAGAAAATGCCTCTAGAACATGGCCATATAGCCCGGAAAAACCTATAACAACCCAGTGATTCCGGCCATGAAAGTCTTTGACAATACTTTGGTTGATTTCCATAGCTAGAGAGGGTCACTCCTGGGAACCCTCCTTATCACTCAACTTTCCACTCGATTCCTTATCTACTGTTGCTACTTCTGATTCCCCTAAATATCCTCGATGCCCTGCACTTTCCGACTCAGTTGTCTCACAGCGAGAACCAATTCCCAAACTTGAATTTCCCAGACTTGAAGGCCCATCACTTTGTGCCACAGGAAAACTCACAATCCACTCTAAACCATCAGTTAAACTATCAGCTGATCTACAACACATTGAATACTTCCTAAATGGATTCCATTGGCTTGCTCTAATTTGGACAATGCCACAGAATTGAGCCCAAGATATTCCCAAGGCTAAATGGCACAACAAGGAAAAAGAACATACCGTAAAAAGCAACTACAGGAAAAAATAAACACACTGTACACCCATTTAAAAACAACAACATGTCAAACTGTATAACCCATGCATGGGCAAACTTTGGCTCTCCAGGCCAAACTTTGACCCTATGGACTGTTAAGAATTCTGGGACTTGAAGTCCAAAACACCTGGAGGGCCGAAGTCTGTCCATGCCTGGTGTAACCCGATGTCTACTCGTGATCTTTTCCTTTGTCCCTTGGCCTCTCTTCTCAAAATGCCCCCCATATAAGACTTACTCCAAGGAATCTACTCCACCGGCCAGCATGTGTAGATGGTTCAACGTTGTAATGGAAGTGGTCAGGTGGCGTTTGGCATGGTCCAACTGCTTAATATCCCGGGTGATTTCTTTAACCTTGTAAGATTGAAAAAATAGGTGTTTATACTTGTAATTATACAATGATTATACAATTATACAACTACCAAGCTTGCAAACTTTATGCTTTGTTTGTTAAAATATGCAATACAACTGTTTGGTTTGCCCCTGACACGATAAATAAATAAAATACAATGAAGCACACATTTCCAGAAACCAGACAGCTTACATATTTTGGCTATGGGGCAAATCAGTTCAAAAACCCTTTTATTTTTCCCATTTTAACCAACTGAGATTGCTTGTTCCCTTGGAAGACAGGGCCGGGCTTTAGCACAGTAGGTTAAACCACCAAATGCAGAAAATTTTGTCAATTGGAAGGTCGACAGTTTAAGCCCGGGTTGGAGTAAGCTCCCAACCATCAGCCCAGCTTCTGATCACCTAGCAGTTCGAAAACAGTAATGTGAGTAGATAAATAAGTACTGCTTGGCAGGGAGGTAATAAAAGGCAGACATGCCAGAAATTTGACCGGGAGAGCGTCTAAAGAAAACAATGTTCCTCGACATTGAAGGTGGAGCAACAGCACCTCCCATGGCTGGAGTCGAGCACAGCCTCCAGATGCCGGAGATGGAAAAAGATGGAAAGCCTTTACCTCTATTTACATACTGTCTGTCATGGTTAATTGTATAACGGCACTGAATGTTTGCTGCATATGAGCACTTTAATCTACTCTGAGTCCCCACGGAATATACGAGGGTTGAATGAAAAGTAATGCCTCCACCTTCATTACTTGGGTTTGGATGGGAATATTTTAATAAATCAAATGCAGAAATAATCCTTAGAATGTGCTCTTTAACTACCACTATTCACTTTTCCACATAATCACCGGACAATTGGATACATTTCTGCCAACGATGAACAAGTTTTCTGAAGCCGTCACAGAAGAAGTCGACACTCTGTTTCCGCAATCAGCGTCTCATAGTTCTTCATCAGAAGCATAATGATGTCCCGCAGATCTTCTGTCATTATCGGGAATAGATGGATGTCAGACGGTGCAAAATCTGGACTGTATGGAGGATGTTGTAGGGTGGTGAGATCGAGTTTCTGAAGTTCTGCTGTGGTGGCATGTGTAGTGTGTGGTCTGGCATTGTCATGTTGTCGGAAAACATTTCCTTTTGGACCCTTGTTAGCCATCGTTTCAAAGTTTGCAGCATTGTGATGTAATGCTCTGAATTTATTGTCGTTCCATGTTCAAGGAAATCAACATGGATAACACAATCTGCATCCCAGAACACTGTTGCCATGACTTTTTCCAGCTGAGGGCTGTGACTTGAATTTCTTTTTCTGGGGTGAGTCTTTGTGTCGATATTCCATAGACTGACACTTTGTCTCAAGGTCGTATTGGTGTACCCACGTTTTGTCTCCTGTCACAATTGAATGGAGAAAGGCATAATCTTCATTCTCGTAACGCGAGAGGAGTTCCTGGCAAATTTCAAGGCTGCGCGCTTTCATTTCAGGCGTCAGCATCCTGGGTACCCATCGTGCACGGATCTTCCGATAGCCAAGCAAAGCAATAATGTGACTCACACGTTCTTGTGAAATGCCGATTATGCTTGAAACTTCTCTCCGAGTGATACGACGATCGTGCTGAATCAATCTGTCAACCTTTTGTTTGTGATACTCGGTGGTTGCTGTCACGGGACACCCAACTCTTTGTTTGTCACGCAAGTTTTCTGAAGACATCACGGAAGAAATCGACACTCTTGTTTCCGCAATCAGCACCTCACAGTTCTCTCATCCTGGATACTCATTGTGCACGGATCTTCCGATAGCCAAGCAAAGCAATAATGTGACCCACACGTTCTTGTGAAATGCTGATTATGCTTGAAACTTCTCTCCGAGTGATACGACGATCATCCTGTCAAGCTTTTGCTTGTGAAACTCGATGGTTGCTGTCACAGGACGTCCAACTCTTTGTTTGTCACACAAGTCAGATGTTCCCACCTCAACATCTTTAAACTTACTCACCCAACAACACACAATACTCACATCAACACAATCACCATAAACTTGCATTCTCTGATGAATCTCCTTTGGGGTGACACCTTCTGCTGTCAAGAATTCAATGACTGTAGAGAAGGTGTCACCCCAAAGGAGATTCATTAGAGAATGCAAGCTGTTTAGGGGGATTGTGTTGATGTGAGTTGTTGGGCGAGTAAGTTTAAAGATGTTGAGGTGACACCTTCTGATGTCAAGAATTCAATGATTGCACGTTGCTTAAGTTGCACTGACCAACCATATGCGCAGGGTTCCATACTTCGCACTTAAACAACACAACCATTCAATGCTAAGGCTTCCCGCCGAAATGGAACTGTAGAGGAGAGTCTACTGTACAAGCCAGTACCTGCAGCATACCAGTACTGCCATCTGTTGAGGAGTTACGAAGGTGGAGGCATTACTTTTCATTCAACCCTCATATTATATTAGCACAGCATATTAGTATTAGCACAGCATAATATTAGCAGTATATATATTACTAATAGCACAATATTAGTATATAATGACTAATAATATTCGTATATTATTAACCCTCATATATGAAGTATATTATTGATGTTTGTTTGTTTGTTTGTTTATTTAAAACATTTATATTCCGCCCTTCTCACCCCGAAGGGGACTCAGGGTGGAGCACAGCATATACATGGCAAACATTCAATGCCGGGACACAGATTCACATACAATACATAAACATTAAAAAAATTATCAAAATATTAAAATACACCATTTAAAACCGTCCTAGTCATTTCCTATTGCCGCTTTATTGCCCTGTCCCGAAAGCTTGGTCCCACAGCCAAGTTTTTACCATACTTCTAAAGGACAGGAGGGAGTGGGCCGACCTGATCTCACCAGGAAGGGAGTTCCATAGCCGGGGAGCAATCACCGAGAAGGCCCTGTCTCTCGTCCCCACCAATCGTGGGGACAGAAAGCAGGGCCTCCCCGGAGGATCTTAATATCCGCGATGGTTCATAGGGGGAGATGCGTTCGGACAGGTAATTTGGGTTGTTGCTTGGACAGGTAATTTGTTGTTGTTGTTGTTTGGACCTTACCATCTGCTCTGATTTCTCTGCCTTGTCCTTGATGTCTTTAATTTTCCCAAAGAGCTGCTGAATTGCCTTCTGCGCTTCCTCAAGAGCCTGGAGGAATGAAAGAAGGGAGTAGAGGTGGGATTACACTCAGTCTACACTTCTGGAAGGAATTGTGAATCCAAACCTGCCTGGCCAAGACAACGTTGTCCCTTGAATACCTAAAACATGCTGCTCTTTGGAAGCAGTCCTGGGCCTCTCATCTATATAAATAAAAATGTAATGTTCTTCTGTGGGATTAACAGCACTCAAAAACCACTGGAGGAATTGACACCAAATTTGGACACAAGACACCTAACAGCCCAATATATGTTCTTCACTAAAAAAAAAAATTGATTTTGTCATTTGGGATTTGTAGTTGCTGGAATTTATAGTTCACCTACCATCAAAGAGCATTCTGAACTCCATCAATGATGGAATTGAACCAAACTTGGCACACAGATCTCCTATGATGAACAGAAAATACTGGAAGGATTTGGTGGGCACTGACCTTGAGTTTGGGAGTTGTAGTTTACCTACACCCACAGAGAGCACTGTTGACTCAAACAATGATGGATCTGGACCAAATTTGGCACGAATACTCAATATGCCAATATGTGAACACTGGTGGAGTTTGGGTTCAATGGACCTTGGCATTTGGGAGTTGTAGTTGCTGGGATTTATAGTTCACCTACAATCACAGAGCATTCCAACCCCACCAACAATAGAATTGGGCCAAACCTCCCACACAGGAAGCCCCCGGTGGCGCAGTGGGTTAAAGCACTGAGCTGCTGAGCTTGTTGATCGAAAGGTCACAGGTTCGTTTCCGGGGAGTGGTGTGAGCTTCCGCTGTCAGCCCTAGCTTCTGCCAACCTAGCTGTTCGAAAACATGCAAATGTGAGTAGATTAATAGGTACCGCTCTGGCGGGAAGGTAACGGCGCTCCATGCAGTCATGCCGGCCACATGACCTTGGAGGTGTCTACGGACAACGCTGGCTCTTCGGCTTAGAAATGGAGATGAGCACCACACCCCAGAGTCAGACATGACTGGACTTAATGTCAGGGGACTACCTTTACCTTTACCCCCACACAGAACACCCTTGTGGGCCACAGCAACTCGTGGCAGAGGGCGGCATATACGTTACATCTTACGATATAGTACAATCTATCTATATATAAATGCTCTGTGCATAATGAGTACCTTAAAAACAAAAGAACCAATGAACGAAATCGCACCAAATTTGGCAACAAAACGTCTCACAACACAAGGAGTGACCATCACTCAAAAAATTATGATTTTGTCATTTGGGAGTTGTAGTTGCTGGGATTTATATTTCACCTACAATCAATGAGCATTCTGAACTCCATCAATGATGGAATTGAACCAAACTTGGCACACAGATCTCCTATGATGAACAGAAAATACTGGAAAGGTTTGGTGGGCATTGACTTTGAGTTTGGAAGTTGTAGTTCACCTTAATCCAGAGAGCACTGTGGACTCAAACAATGATGAATCTGGACCAAATTTGGCACGAATACTCAATATGCCAATATGTGAACACTGGTGGAGTTTGGGGACAATGGACCTTGGAATTTGGGAGTTGTAGTTGCTGGGATTTATAGTTTACCTACAATCACAGAGCATTCTGAACATCAATGATGGAATTGAACCAAACTTGGCAAACAGATCTCCTATGATGAACAGAAAATACTGGAAAGGTTTGGTGGGCATTGACCTTGAGTTTGGGAGTTGTAGTTCACCTACATCCAGAGAGCACTGTGGACTCAAACAATGATGAATCTGGACCAACTTGGCACAAGCACTGATTACGCCCAAATATGAACACAGATGGAGTTTGGGGGAAATAGACCTTGACATTTGGGAGTTGTAGTCACTGGGATTCACAGTTCACCTACAATCAAAGAGCATTCGGAACCCCATGAACGACAGAATCGGGGCAAACTTCCCACACAGAACACCCACGACCAACAGGAAATACTTAAGGCCGTCCAATCCAAGTCCCTTCATCAGGGCAAGAAAACATAATCAAAGTCCTCCTGACAAGAGCCATCCAGCCATAGATAGATATAGATAGATATGATTCACACACAGAGATATAGCATCATAGATTTGAAAGGGACCCTTAAAGACAATGATATCTTGTATGTTCCAGGACTAGTGTAAAAGCATACACCGTCAAACAGAATGGGAAAATGGGTTGTTGTGGGATTTTTCGGGCTATACACATTCAAGAGGAGCAGCTCAGAGGTCGCCTCCAAAATCGACTGCCTGAATTATAGACCCCCCTCCTCTGCCGAACACTATATCTTTCCCGGCCAGAACAGACCCTGCTTCACAAAGCTGAGTTTTCACAGCTGCCAACAGTAAAAAAGAGAAACACTGCCATTTCCCCACGTCTTAAAATAAATAATGCCCGGCATTGTTCCCTCCTGGCATGCCACGGGCCCCCAAATATTCCCCCACAACCCACCAGGACACGGAGAATGGGGTCATTGTGCTCTCATATGGAAGGAGGGTTGCACTGTCAACAGGGCTTTTAATCAGAGGCATTAAGGAGAAAAATCAGGATTATTATTATTATTATTATTATTATTATTATTATTATTATTAATATTTTTAGAAACTAGCCATCCCCTGCCACGCATTGCTGTGGCTCAGCCTGTGTATATGTATTTTGTGTGTGTGTATATAAGAAGGGTTGCACTGTCAACAGGGCTTTTAATCAGAAGCATTAAGGAGAAAAATCAAGATTATTATTATTATTATTATTATTATTATTATTATTATTATTAATATTTTTAGAAACTAGCCATCCCCTGCCACGCATTGCTGTGGCTCAGCCTGTGTATATGTATTTTGTGTGTGTGTATATAAGAAGGGTTGCACTGTCAACAGGGCTTTTAATCAGAGGCATTAAGGAGAAAAATCAGGATTATTATTATTATTATTATTATTATTATTAATATTTTTAGAAACTAGCCATCCCCTGCCACGCATTGCTGTGGCTCAGCCTGTGTATATGTATTTTGTGTGTGTGTATATAAGAAGGGTTGCACTGTCAACAGGGCTTTTAATCAGAGGCATTAAGGAGAAAAATCAGGATTATTATTATTATTATTATTATTATTATTATTATTATTAATATTTTTAGAAACTAGCCATCCCCTGCCACGCATTGCTGTGGCTCAGCCTGTGTATATGTATTTTGTGTGTGTGTATATAAGAAGGGTTGCACTGTCAACAGGGCTTTTAATCAGAAGCATTAAGGAGAAAAATCAAGATTATTATTATTATTACTATTATTATTATTAATAATAATAATATTTTTAGAAACAAGCCACCCCCTGCCACGCATTACTGTGGCTCAGCCTGTGTATATATATTTTGTGTGTGTGTGTATCTACGTGTATATGTGTGTGTATATATTTATGTATATGTGTGTGTTTGCGTGTATATATGTGTTTTTGCACATGTGTTGTAATGTATTTTTTATTTCTTTGGCTTTTTAAGTCTCTTCTGCTGTGTTTTTAGTGTTTTTATGAGTGACTAGCTGTCCTCTGCCATGCTCTGCTGTGGCTAGCCTGTGTATATCTGTTTTGTGTGTGTGTGTATGTGTATATATGTGTGTTTTTGCACATGTGTTGTAATGTATTTTTTATTTCTTTGGCTTTTTAAGTCTCTTCTGCTATGTTTTTCAGTGTTTCTTTGAGTGACTAGCTGTCCCCTGCCATGCTCTGCTGTGGCTAGCCTGTGTATATGTTTTGTGTGTGTGTGTGTGTGTGTATATATATGTGTGTGTTTTTGCACATGTATTTTTTTTTATTTTTTTGGCTTTTAAAGTCTCTTCTGCTGTGTTTTTCAGTGTTTTTTTGAGTGACTAGCTGTCCCCTGCCATGCTCTGCTGTGGCTAGCCTGTGTATATCTGTTTTGTGTGTGTGTATATATATGTGTGTGTGTGTGTGTTTTTCCACATGTGTTGTAATGTATTTTTTATTTCTTTGGCTTTTTAAGTCTCTTCTGCTGTATTTTTTAGTGTTTTTATGAGTGACTAGCTGTCCCCTGCCATGCTCTGCTGTGGCTAGCCTGTGTATATGTTTTTTTTTTGTGTGTGTGTGTATATATATGTGTGTGTGTTTTTGCACATGTGTTGTATTTTTTTTATTTTTTGGCTTTTAAAGTCTCTTCTGCTGTGTTTTTCAATAGTGTCCAAATTTGGTGTCAATTCATCCAGTATTTTTTGAGTTATGTTAATCCCGCAAACGAACATTACATTTTTATTTATATAGGTGATAAATAAATACTGCAACGACATCTAGATTAGAGGCCTTCAGCCCAGACTCAGAAGTTTTAACTGAAGGGAGGTAGAGACTCAATCCCTCTGAGTTGGAGCAACCAGACCTTACAACCTCTGAGGATGCTTGCCATAGATGCAGGCGAAACGTCAGGAGAGAATGCTTCTAGAACATGGCCATATAGCTCGAAAAACGTACAACAACCCAGCAACCAGGGTTCTGTGCCAAGGGGAATAGAGAAAGCTGCACTTGGGGGGAAAGCAGAGGAGGAAAGGAGGACCCGCTCCCTTCCCAACAAGTGGACAAAGAATAACAGCGGCGACGAAGAAGGCAGGCTCTGTTCTCCCGGAATCTGCCGAGGGATCCGGAACAGCCAGCGTCTGGACCGGCCAAGGCAAAGCGCGGTCTCTCCCTGCCCAGGAATGTTCTCCCGCTGTTTCATCCCCGGGAAACAGGTCCTTTTCAAAAACAAATCACCTTCTACAGATGTTGGGCAAGAAATAAAATATAATTCCCTTGAAAAATCCCTTAAAAAATAATAATACCACCACCAGAAAGTAGGGGAGCCAAAAAGAGCAGAGCTATTTTAAGCCTGCAGACTTGGAAGGCAATTTTGAGGGTGGTGCTCTCGTTTAAAAATACCAAATAAAAAGGAAAACCTAACAATACAGGGTTAGTCAAAATGAATAGGCCAATAAGAAAATTAATTTTAGACAAATGTATGTTTACTGTAACCAAACTACAGCTACGTAGCGACA